TATTGTACTAAAATCAAACAAATTTTAAGGTAATGAAATAATTTGCAAAATTTTGTGTAAACAAAGAGTTTGTTTTTAAATATTTAATGTTTAATTTTTAAACAATACTTATAATGCAATATAATTTTGTTTGATTTACATTCATACAATCAGTTGTTATATAGGATTGTTAAAAAATAGCTTCCACAACTTAGATGGCTCTAGAGTATGTTCTATTGCTTGAAATGAAACAACATTTGGACAACAGATACTTCACTTGTCATTAATTAAAAATTTTTTATACAAAAGTCACTCATGGGTGGCACTGGGGCTATGCAAATCATGGTTATAAATGTTCAATATATCTTCCATCATTTTCAACAATGATCTCCATTTGCAAAAGCGTGTTTCCACAGCTGAATGCAATGAGTCTGCTTTAATTGCAAGAACATGCTGATGAATACTGTTCTTTAGATCTGACATAGATGTACATTTTTCACGATAAGTCCTGCAAGAAATTCCATAACCAGAAGTCACTTGGAATGAGATCAGATGAGTGAGCAGACCCAGCTGTTGAGAAGTAAGTGAGGAGACCCGTTCATCTGTGAAAATCCGCCTTAACTCATTTTGAACAGTGAGAGTAATGTGAGATAATGCATTGTCTTGCCTGAATAAGATATTCTGAAGGTACCCAGATCATTAAAACTGTGGAATCACAAAAGCCATCAAAATGTTAAGATACCATTCTTAAGATACTAGAACACTCTGAGTTGGGAAAATTGGAAGCACTGGAAAAGTTATTTTTTAACAACCCTGTATTCATATCTAGTTAAAGAATATATTTAAACTAATTTTTTACACACTACTATTTAGTATTAAGTAAAATTATATATAAATGGATTTATGTACTGTTTATCAAAAGTTAAGGGACAAAATTTCTTTAGCTTCTTTATAAAATCTAGAAAACTATAGAATGCAATACTAATGCATAAAGTATTTGCACATTAAAAATCGATTAAAATATAAAAAAATAATTTTAAACTGTAAACATACTTTGTTTCAGAAACAATTTTTGAGTTCATAAATTGTTCATAAAAACGCATTCTATTTTAATGTAGCCATTTTGTTCTGCGTTATATGCCCTGAAGATGTCTGTTAGTAAATATTTCTTAATTTCAAGTATGCTGGTATTGGTATGTTGTGTATGTTTTGTCTGCTTCTTATCATTCTATAAGTTATTCTGTATATTTTTCTTAGCTTGTTCCAGAATAAATTAGATGAAAAACCAGTGGCCAACGCAATCTTCTTTATAAAATTAACTTCAATAACTAAAGATGCTCTTGTTTAAAAGTACAAATAAGCTCTACCTACATATAAGAGACTTAAAAGCTGCTATTTTGTACAGTAAGACCTTGCTTAACGCTACCTTGCTTAACACTGATTCGATATAACACGATCTGCTTGAAGCTTAAAAAAAGCTCAAAATTTACACCAATTTAAATTATCGTGGCATTTCACTGATTCGTATATAATACAATTATTTGCGAACACAAACCAATCAGCAAAAGGTGGCAAAAAGGTGGCAAAATTTTAAAGATTTAAAGAAAGATTTACTTTCTTTAAATCTATGTTTGTTTGGTGCAATTTTGGAAAAAATATAACATCATGGATGCCATAGGAAATATCGACTTTGTTTCACAAAAATTAACTGATAAATGCATGAATGAAGTGTGGAAGAAGTTATGGCTGAAGGTATCCAAGAATTCTCAACGAGAGAGCCTATCGCTGTATTGTTAGGTTGACCAAACTCAACCTAATTGATATAGCAGGACTAGGAGATATAGACAAACAGGCTATTGGGGAGTTACAGCAGGTTTCTGGTGAGAGCCTTACCAACAATGACCTTCAAGAACTAGCAGAACATGGAATTCATGTGGAACTGGGAAATAGAGATTCTGAAAACGAAGAACCGAAAAAATTTCTCTACAGATTTCCTTAGTAAAAGTATGGTAAGATAACTGAAATTGTTGATCAAATTGTAACAAATGATGCAGATTTTGAAGAGAGTGCAAAAGCAAAACAAGGCATTTTGGATGTGATCTTCTGCTACCGACATTTTCTTAAGGAAAGAAAAAAGTGACAAATGAAACTTCACGACTTTATTGCAAAAGAACAAGAATTTCAGAAACGTCAGGATCTTCATCACAAAAAATGAACTTTACAATTCTGTGTGCATATGTTTATGGGTTATTTAACTTATATTATTATGCAAATTAATAAAAAAAATAACTTAAACAAATTTTACTTTAATTTTATTGTTGGTCATGTGTTCCCCTATCCCTATTTTACTCTATGTTAAAATTACCTTGTTTAATGCTGTTTCGCTTAGCACTTTGTTGTCTAGGAACACAACCCCCTGCATTAAGCAGGGTCTTACTGTACTTGAAGAGATTATCTTAAATGAAAGTGGATATATGAAAGTACAGTAGTAGATTTCTTTTAATTCATCATCTTTAATCTATCTTTGTGTAGTGGATCTTCTATTTCTTAATCTTTTTGATTTCCAATATCACACTGATGTTTTGATTTTTCTTTCTTTTTCTATCACACTCTTCTTTCTAGATGCAAAGTTCTTATGCATTTTGTTCATTGCTTATAATTTTATGCTCAATTACTTGAATGTTTTAATGTTATGTTTAGAATGTTTTGGAATGTTTGAGTGAGACACATACTGATATGTTGATCATTTGAATTAAGTAATGTAATCTCAATAGTAGGTGAAGTTGGCAAAATGTTAATATTTTCAACCCAGTTAATGGGCCATTTTCAGGTGTGGATGGATAAAAAATACATTCCAGTTTTATTTCTCCATGCCTCAGGCTGGCCCATTAATTAGGTCAAAAACATTATTATTTCAGTTTAAAAAATTAAATTGAAGATAAAGTCTATTGAAAAAGAAATTACCATTTATTCACTTTCAATGTTCTAGAATACAAATATTTGACAATTGACCTTTCATTATAGGCTACTTAGCTGTCAAAATTAAAACTTCCCTTAAAAACAAAGATAAAAATTCCAATTAAAACACAAGTGTAAAAATTTGAACTGGAAATTCCACGGATGTCTTCTTTCCTTTCATCCTTATTGCTTGGGGATAGTTGAACTTTTTTATCTACTGGAAGCAATTGCTGGTAAATTTAGATTTTCAACTGCTCTCTAGTGATGAATTCTTGGCAGAGTAAATTAATTGCCATCCAGCAAAATTCTACAAATTAATTGAAATTATTCTTTTTCCTACTAGTTTGAAACTGTATCATTAATCTTATTTGTTTCTTAAACACTATGTAGTGTAATTAATCAATCACTTGGCAAAAAAATGAAATTATTCTATGGCATAGTAAACATTAGTATTGGGTTGTATTCCAAAGACACATGGCAAGTTTTCCATCAAATATCTTTATTAATTGAGTTGAAATTATTCTGTAAAGATTTGTCACCAGGAAAGATGTCACGAGGAAAGAAGGAAATTAATTAGATAATTTTGTTTTTTTGTTCTTAATTGGATAATTTTTTTGTTGTTTTTAAGAGAAGTTTTAATTTTGACAGCTAAGTAACCTACAATGAAAGGTCGGTCATCAAAAGTTTGTATTCTGAAACATTGAAAGTGAATAAATGGAGATTCTTTTTTCAACAGACTATGTCTTCAATTTAATTTTTTAAAGTTAATTGCCATCTGACAAAATTTTACAAATTAATTGAAAGTATTTCAGCCACTATTAAAAATGCCTTGCTAACTCAGAAGATTAACTAAAGTGGCTAATTTAATCATGTATATTTCTCTTCAGTGGTGATCTGATGATTAAATTAAAACTATTCTGAAAAACATTTACTTATAATAAATATGTACACTTTAACTTTTATCAGCAATAATGGTATTTCTTAAGACTGGTTGCTATATTCTTTTGATGTTTGAGAACAATATGAAAGTGGAAGTTCAACAGTTTGGAGATGAATCATATTTAGTAGAGAAGCTAGTCTGTATGTCTTTGTAACTGAATTATCAAACTTTATAGGCAAAATGTCAATGAGATATTAGAACTTAATGTATGTTTTTAGAGAGACAATTGATATTGAATTAATTTTCAAAGATGATAATAGTGTATAGTGTTGTGGGGTGAACACTTTTGAAGATGAAAATATTTAATTAATAAAGATTATGGCCAGCCTGTTAAAGTAATTACAAATAAATATTGCAACAAAGTTTAATTTTTATTGTATTACATCATTGGTCAGCAGTATAGAGGCATACTCTTAACCTAGATTATTTTTGTATTGTAAGACCTGGCCACATTGCAAAATAGAGAAGACCGTGAGTTTCTAAACAATAGATGTGGTTTGTTGTGTCTGCTTTTTTTGTTATTAATTTATTATTTTCTCTGCCAAAGATTTGTTTAACAAACTCTGATCTATATGCAATAGAACATTTGTGGGGAATCTCTAGAAATGTTAACATTTTTTATATTTTTTAATTTCTCTATCATCATCTGAAATTAAAGATGACACAACTTGAAGAGTAAGCAATACTATCAATTGCACTATAGTAATGCACGTTGAAAAGAAGTTGAGCAACTTACTCAACTTCTTTTCAACGTGAATTACTATTGTATGAAATATCTATCTGTAAAAAAAGAATCACAAGTTCTCTTAAATGCACTCAACACCAAATTATTCACTAGACTAAAGATGATCACATATTTTATTAATTTTTACATTGCTTAAATTTTAATATAGTTTTGCAATAACCATTTACATGTTTTTAAGACTTAGGCTATTTTGTTTATTTACTTAACATACCATACCACATTAAAATCTTCAGCCAATTTTTATATAAATGTTCATTTAAGTCTTGCATATAGTTTCTGAAGTATATAAAATTTAAAATTTGTCTCTTAACATTTGACAAACATTATATTTATTTACAATTTATGTTAAGACCATTCAGAATCTTATTGTACTTTTAGGATTTGATCCAGAGATCCCAGGCTATCCACGATATACTATGGTAACAGACGAAAAGCATGGAATTTATAATTTATTAATAAGGGATGTCAGACTTGACGATGAAGGAGAATTTCAATGCCAGGTCAATACGGTAGTTAATTTATTAATATATTGTTTATACTTAATATTATTTCAATGAAGTTAAAATGTTGACATATTTTCAACTTATTTTACATAACCAATAAGAAAAAAATCAGTTAATTTGTAATAATAATAAATATTTAATGAAAAAACATTAAATATTTATTATTATTAACATTTTTGAATAGAAAAAAGAAATAAATTTGAATTTTAAATCAGTATATTTTTATATTTAATATATTCATAAAGAAAAGTCTCTTGAATGCTTTAATTTCACTAATTTTCTTTTGTCTGCCTCATGAAGCAACACATGCAAATCTATAATGGTTTTATGCAAGATTGGATTTCAATGAATAAAAATTGATTTAACAGAAATAAATTAATGATTTAAAATATAATATATACAAAATTGCTGATAAGTAAAACACACAGGTAAACTTTCATTTACATATTAAACTAGTGATCAGATCCTGAAATGTCAAAAGCAGAACATTTAGGCCAGAAGCTATGATGTGATATTAGATGAGTCACATAACTGATTCCAATTGATGATCATTAGCTTTCTTGCTTTCTGACATCATCAATGACAAATGTTATGAATAAGCAACAAACATTTTACTTATCCGTATACTTTTGATTACAAAATAACAAGCTACAACAATAGTGACAACAAACAGTTAATTACTCCTCTCTCTGTAGCTTTGTTTGCTTTAACAGCCTTTTTTATAACTGATTTGCAACACCTCAGTACTTGCACACTTGTATATAGATTCACTCTACTCTGATAGACAAAGTTGACAAGCTGTGCAATTAAGCTGTGCTATACATTGGATATTAAAATTTTTATGTTATAACTTGTATGCAATTCATTTTTGACATACAATTTATGCAATGAATATTTACTATTTTTGAATATAATTATGAAACAGTCCAAAAGCAGAACCATTTTCATACAGTTTTAAAATCAAGACTGCATATTAAAAAGTGGGACTGTCCTGCCTAATTCAGGATGTCTGATCTCTTTATATTAAATAAATATTGACTATTGAGACAAAACAAATGGAAGTAATGGAATATTTAACTTCATCTGAAATATTTCACTCCATTCAAATAAATCATTCATATAAGTTCAGTCCAATGCTAGAGTCAACTAGCTTTTTTTAAATTTGACTTCTTACTATAAGCTGTATTTTTGTGATCTTAATTAAATACATTCATCACAAATGATTTACTACTATTTTAATGTTACCAATTATGAAAATGTTTAGGTTGTTTAGAGTAAAAACTGATTCTTCTGTTTGTAAAACAGATATGAAAGGAAATTAAATAAAAATGCATTTAATTGAGATGATTTTACTTTAACTATTATCATATTTAAATTTCATAAGTGTTTGTACTGTACATATTTATTTTATAGCGGGTAGTGTAACTGGCAATGCATTCACATGGTAAGTGGGAGTTGCAGGTTTAAGTTTCACTCTAGGTTGATTCTTTTCTTCCAGAATATTCTAAATGATTAATTAAATGTTAATTTAATTATAATTATTAAATTTAATAAGAGATGGTGCCTAACACCTACTTCTAGTACCAAGTTATTTAGAAATAACACCATTAAAGTAGCCTGGTTTAATCTGGCAGTTGTTTGGCATATTATTTAATATAATTTATATAGAAATAACTGAATATTAGTTAATTTATCGGTGCAAAGTTATCAACATAAATATCAATATCCCATAAGAAAACTAGTGGAACCAGCTTGAAAAAGTAAAGCTCAGCAAAAACAAATAAAGGAAACTTGAAAGTTATGGCATAAGAATACTGGAATCAGATTAGACAGTAAGATTAACATGTGAACAAAGAGCACATTACTGCAGACTACAACTATAGGAAGTTTTGGATGAAGCAATGTCATTGTGATAATAGAATCTATTTCCTCTGAATCAGTTTATTGGTCTTGGAGATATTAAGTGTCAAAGTTGGCACTTTAACATTAGACATGTGGCTGAGTTCTGCTTTAGAGCACTACTACACTATATGATAATTCAATCACATGAAGATCTATTTATGCTTAATATATAATCCTATCCCAGCATGATTAATTACCATAACATTATTTAAATTAACATTATTTTTATACATAATGATGTTCTTTAATTTTCCATTTTCTTTTCCATATATTAAAGGAATTTTTGAAAGTATAAGAGAATGTTTAGTGATTCATTAATTACGCTTGAATGTTGTCAGTTGTTGAAACTAATGATAGAAGATTGGGAAAAATGGATAAACTTAAATTATCAGTAGTAGTGTAAAAGATAATGTATACTTATGATCAACCAAAATGCTATATTGGAGAGATGAAACTTCCATTGGAAAAAAGGTTGGTAGAACACATGGCAGCAATATGACTTAAAGATAAAAATTCATTATGGTACCAACACTGTGAGGAAAATATATGTCAAATAGATAAAAATAATAATGAAATAATGTTATAAAGCAGAGAATTAAAGAACATTTTACAATAAGTACGTATATAAATAATGTTAATTTAAATAATGGTATGGTAGTTGATGCATGATGGAATAGGATTATGTTGAACATAAATAGATCTTCATATGATTGAACTATTATATAGATCAGGGGTGTCAAACTAGTGGCCCCTGATATGATTTTTTATGGCCTGCGGCCACGATGCTCTGAAATTAAATAAAATGGCTAACAGATCAAGATTAACTGATAAACATCTATCTGCCATAATAAGATTGTTCTCACTCTTTGAATCTAGATATTGGAAAATATCTAGATTCAAAGAGTGAGAACAATCTTAATGCATTAATGGCCTATTGTTTAAATGAGTTTGACACACCCGATATAGATCATAGTATATAGTGAATGAACAAAATGATCAGTTTTGTGCTATACATTATTGTTTTCCTGTTGTATCATTCTCCATTCCCACTGAAGAGGCCTGGACTAAGTAATCTAGGCAAAATGCTTCTGGTGGTAATTTTTTAAAAGTGTCAGAATAAAAACTATTTCTTTTGACTGTTGTATAGTGAAACTTAACTGCTTAACCTCTAAAAATTGGCATTAAATGATAAGTTAATGCTTTAAGATTATATATTAAAAATATTTTTAAAAACTTTAATAATTAGCTGATCCCATTGATCAACTTTTAACTTTAGATTTAAATCAGTTAAGTGTACTAAATTATTTAAATTTTAAAATCTGAAAGCTTTTTAAATTTTTTTCTTTTTTGCATAAACTAGCATAAAAAAATCAAATAGAAATTTTAAACCCTGTAGTTCTGTAATCTTTTATTGTCAGATATTTACTTTAATTAAATTATGAAAATTTAAAAAAATCTGTGTAAAAATGAAATGAAAATATAAAAAGTGCTATCAAGAAAGTGATGAGTTAATAAGTGAACTTCTCTCAAACCTGATAAATTTGTATTACACCAAACAACTACTGGATTCCATTGGGCAATTTAAAATTTTAGAATTTTAGAATGTTCTTTCAGAATATTCTAAAAATTATTTAATTTATTTATAAGCTCAATCTACAAGCTCATTCTTTCAATAATACTTATCTACAAGCTCATTCTTTCAATAATACTTATCTACAAGCTCATTCTTTCAATAATACTTAACTTGGATTTTTTACTTTTACATATAATTGATTAGGTTGTATATTAATCTGGACTTATTGATATAAGGGATTAGTGGTAAAATAATTAGCAAAATTAACATAACAGATTTTTCATATCTATTTTATGTTTAAGTGAAATCTTCAGTGCAGGAAAACTGAATTATGGTCAGTACAATAAGAGAAAATAACAGAATCAGTCCAAAAGGAAATACAGTAATACCCCAACTTACGCGAACCTGGAGTTACGTGATTTTCAAATCTCGTCAATTCGTCTTTTGTTTGAGCGCCTCGCAATTCTTGATTATTCATTCCCACCACACTATTATTCAGCTTACATGTTTGGATGTGTCGTGCGGAATCGACACATAGCTACAATTTATTTTGTGTTATTTATTTCTGTGTTTGTTATATCTATGGAGACTCGAAAGACTTTACTATGTCATCTAAACGAAGTAGAACTGATTCTTTTGCATCAAACAAGAAAAGAAACTTTATCTTTGGAATGTAAAGTTATTATTAAAGACTTCGATACAAAAATGAAAATTTGTGAATTGGCAAAGAAGTTTGATCTACCGGAATTGACAGTCAGAACAATTATAAAAGGTAAAGAAAAAATTCTTGAAGCTGTAAAAAATGCTCAATCTTTAAATTTAAGCATCATTCGTAAATGTCACAGTATTATCCTTCAGATGGGAACAATGTTAAAATTATGGTGTGATAATCAAGTAAATGTGAAAAATTGTATAATAATATAATTTGTTATACATATGTATTATCTAAGATTTTATTAAACATTTTTTCTAAATTATTGTTTTCTTTAATCTTCGGCCCCAATTAAAAATTATTTGTATGTATTTATATGCAAAATTATACTCTGACTTATGCGAATTTGACTTACGCAGTTATCGCTCGGCCCACCTATCGCGTAAGTTCAGGGTATTACTGTACTAAACAAAAAAAATTTTAATACAAACTGAAAAATATAGTTTGCTGCAATTTATCTTGAGTAAACTCATATATACTCAAACCAAAGTCACAATATTACTTTTACAGAAGATTTAATAAAACTTATGTAGTAGCTTTTTTCTGAAAACCACAGTCAACAAGAAGTACTCTTTCATATAGGGATACACACTTCTAGCAGTTTTTGCCCCTCTTCATTCCCTCTAATTTTATTCATATAAAATTAATTGAAAATTTATTAGTTTTATAAAATAAAAATATATTCATTCCATTTAAAATTTCTCAAGAAGTTTCCATTTAACATTATATTAAAATTCTTTTTGTACTTTTTGGTTTACAGTTGCATTATTTCTATTAAAAGTACAGTATTAATTTACATCAATCATAATTCTATAAATCATTAAATATATTGGTTTTACGTTTTTAGTTAAATAATTTAAATATTTTCAGACAGGACTGTTGAGAGGAGAACTGGGGATTTTTTCCCAGGACTAGAGAAAAGTTAATGTATTTGTAGTGATTCCCATCCATATAAATTAAATGTTATTTTTCTAACAATAAATGAAATCTTTAAGGTTGCATTTTACTAATAAAGAAATATTCTACATATTTTATTTGTTCAAAAAAAAAAAAAAATGGCAAAAGAACCCTGAGAGAGAGAGAGAGAGAGAGCTTTCTCTACCTCCAGACCCATACAATCTCTCAAAGGACCTGTTTTCAGATCATATTCTAATATAGTTTTACATATTACCTCTCCAGTAATAGTTTGATATTTTAATTAATCATTTTAAAATATATTTCACTTATATTAATTTGAAGCAAAGAATGAAAATTTTTAAATGATCTTATTTCTAGTTTATTTTCTTTAGATGAGCTATTTAGAATATACTTCTGAGGATGGATTGGAAGTCACTCTGATTATATTAAATTAAAAACTCATAAAGATATATTATCCTTTTTTAAGAAGTTAAAATATATTTAAAAAATTTGGTTTTACCAAGATTGTTTTAAGTCAAACGAAGCTTCATTTATTATATAACTTTAGCATAAATAAATTAGCCAAATTATTTTCAAAAATAATTACAGTTCATATTTTATTGGATCTATAATTGAAATAAATATTCAAAATATTCTTTGAATTAGAATTATTCTTTGTTGACATAATTTAATGATGCTTTTCAAAAAATCAAAAACATTACTTAAATTTCCTGATTGATTTTAAAAGTTTTCTGAATAATTATTTTGATAAATTTATTTAATAGAAACTTTACATCATAATTTGTAACAACTTTAATTACATGATTAACAACTGTTTTTAAAAATATATCTATATATTATCTTATTTTTGTTTTTAATAATTTACATATATTTATTGCAGTTTCTAAAATTTTAAATGATGATGATTTTAGGTTGGTCCGACTGATGACCAGAAACCAATTCGAGCAAATGCAAGACTGAGAGTATTAAGTGAGAACAACTTTTTAATGTTTTAAGATTACTTTTTTACTACCATAACTAGGATATTGGACGCCTATACTAGGATAACTAATTGGAGCCATAACTAGGATATTGGACGCCTATGGCCAAGAATAAACATGACACCTTTTTAATTTTTATAATTAAAAAAAATAATAATAATTTTATTCCAAAAAAATGCTATTATAAAAAAATTATCGAATGACATTTAAATACTATATAAATATAAAAGTTTTTTTGTGTTATTAATTTCGAATACATATTATTTCGAAACCTCCTCGTTGGCACCTTTATTAAATTGGCGCCTATGGCGGGGGCTACATTGGCCATACCCTAGTTATGGCTTCGTTTACTATATTAGTTGTTTTGTAACATGTAATAAGAAATCTAAAGTTTAATAACTGATTTATTTCTTTATGTCTAATGATTAGTTTTTTAGATTATATACTATATATCTTTAAACTTATTTCCAATCTTACAAAAAATTTTAGAAAAACCATTATTATCAAATTTTTTATTTTTTTCAAACATTTTTGTCTGTTCTGGCAGCCATCTCCAGGATACAAATGAATATTGGAATGTAGAATGTTTAAAATTTTACATTTCAGATTTGCATATGTATAATGGAATGTTGGAATTTCAGTTTGAATATAAAAGCAATTATACAAATATCAATAGTAATAAGAACAAAATGACTTTTAGAACATTTTTAAAATAGATTTTTTAAAATTTTGTAACTTACCTGATGAAGAGTTTTTTGTGTGCCAAAACATTTGCATTTCTTAATAAAAACTCTTAATATGAAAAACCTGATAAGCTTTTATATTTTTAAAGTTATCATGGTGTATGTTGATATTATATAGCATGTGGGGAAAAATTATGAAAAAGTTAACGATTTATAGACATGCTAAGAACCACCTCTACATAAATCATAACGATGCCTGATGTCAACTGTTGGCATGGAAGTATGTTAAGAATTATGATACAACTGCTGTTTGACATGCCAATATATTCAATTAATTGCCATTTATTTTATTTTATTTTTTATGTTGTTCTTATTTCTATTGGTATTTGTAAAATGGCTTTTATATTCAAATCAAATTCTAACATTCCATTATACATATGCAAATTTAAACTTTGAACAATCTACTTTCCAATATTTTCTAATATCGAATATTCCAATATATCTTAACAATGACAGCTAGAACAGCTGAAAATGTTTGAAAAAATGAATAATTTTGTCTGTAAAGGTTTTTCTAGAATTTTTTGTATATATTATATGTTGCCACTTCAAAAATATTTTAATATTATATACAAAATATATAAAAACATTCATGGTATATACAAGTATACATAATAAATACATTAAAATATATTATGTTACTAATTAATTATAAATGTTAATGCAAAAAATGAAAAAACGTTTTTTTATCAAATTGAGAAATGAAGATTTCCTATCTCCAAATAATAAATACAAATGGTTCAAAATATTTCTGATACATTGTATTACATATCATTTACACTTTGTTTTTACTGTAATTTTGGACAAATAACTGTGTATTATATGTGTTTGAAAAGTGATTTAGAAGGGAGTGGATATGTCAATTGTAAATTCCAATTATGCATTAAGATTGATATACATTATATAATTGGCTGGTGACAGACAACCAACCCATCAGATTGGCAGTTGTCATTTCTCATGCAGTATGAATAGTTAACTTGTGATAAAATCCCATTTAAGGCAACATTTTGAGCAAAATTAAACAAAGTAATTTTAATATCAATAATAAAATTATTTTCTTTTTTTAATTTTTTCTGAATTTAACTTATTATTACTAGTGAAAAAAGGAAATTAGTCAAACAACTACGATTTATTATATTTTTATATTTTTACACTTAATTTACATAATTGGGACAATTCATAAACATCTGGCCAGTGAATATAGGGATGATATCTTTGCTAATGTATGCTTAGATTGAAAATTATTTAGTATTTTAAATGTTATACAAATGTTAGTTTAAGATAAAATGGATTTTGACATTAGAGTTTAAACAAAAAGCAAAAATGTAATGTCATTTTTAGTTTCAAATTCATTAATTATTATTTTGAATTACATTTAATAATTATTAAATAAAACTATTAAATTTAATGAAAAATGATCAGTCATTTCTAGAAAAAATTGAAATGTTTAAGTTTTATCTTTAAAACCTGATACAATTAATATGATTATTATAGAATATTTGGGCTTTGGACTTACCTTGTTAGTTGTTTATATGTATATATCATAATGATTTGTTAACAGAAATGAAACAAAAAGCAATACAGTGGAACCTGGTTAACTTGAATTGATCAGAGAGAAAATTTGGACTTTGATTTAAAAAATTTCAAGTTTTGGAGGTTAAGCTAAAAATCAAGATTTTGTGCATGCATTTACTAGTGACTCATTATAAACTATCTACACAATATTTCCTTGAATTGCATTATGTGGAATTGTTGTGTCAATGTAAACCTCTGTGTCGTCTAGAAACTTGAAAATGCTTGACCAAATGGTTAAATAAGCATAAGCTACTAAGAAATGCTTTCCCAAATGGTTGACCCATTCATTCCTAAGATATAGTAAGAACTTTTTTGAATTGTGATCTTTTGTGCCTAGAATTGATCTGTTTTTTATTTTTTTCACAAACACACCATTCTTTATGATTGTTGTTTTTAAAAGTTTTGCTGCAAAGGTTAAAATTTTTACATAGAATTAGATTATAATTGTTTTTTAAAATTAATTTATCAAAAATCCATATATTTATTATGTCATCTAGTTGTAGAAATCCATCAGCAATCAAATAAAATTTTAAAAAGTTTGAAAAAACAGGCTTCAATGGCAGTTACAGTATCTAGGTCACACATACTGTTTGGAAGCCACCACCCCTGCCCACCGTCACTGATGCATGTTTATGTTTGGTTGTACATGGTTCCTGCATTTTATAGAGAGTTTCTGATTATATTATTTAATAGATGAATGTTAATTACTTTATTTAAATTAAAATTCTAGAGTTTATGAAAATGCTGTATCGAAACCCATTTGAGTTAAATAGTTCAACAAATTCAAATTAACCACTTTGATTTCACATGTAAATCCCCATGCTAAGTGATTGGGGAAAGAAAATACTCATGAGTAAATCTGACTTCAAGTTATCCTGGTTTGAGTTAACCAAGTTCAACTATATTTCAATGTTTAAGATGGCAACTTTTAAACTGCATACTGTTAATATCTTGATTTCAACAGCCTCCTTAGATGTCTGGGAATTCAGTAGTGGTTTCTTCAAAGTTCTACAAAGGTTTTATGTATATTTTTTCAGTTTTCTTTAGGGTATATCTATCATTACATGTCATCTGACCAAAATTATGATAATTTACATTATTCAATTTAACACAAGATAATGGTTGGCTTTTATGTGTAATAAAATTACAATTTCTTAAATCAAATTTGCATAAAAATTTTTTAATTTATTGAAAACAAATTATAGTTATGCTATTTTCAATAATCCATTCTAACCCAGCTCTTATTTTAATTAAATATAAAAACACCTTATTACTAGGGTATTTAAAGCTAATTCCATTTTAACTTTGAAAGAAATGTTCAATGTTGTTCTGAATTCAAATGCGGTTTACCTAACGAGGGCTTATAACTACGCCAAAAAACGTTAGTAAAGAAAATTTAAATACCCCAGTGGTAAGGTGTTTTTATATTTAGCTATTTTTAATGATGGAACCTATGGTCCAATTTTAAATTGTTTTGTATTAACAAATTGTTTTCCTGGACACTTTTCTGCATTTTGTTTTATAATCAGTTAATTTGGAAGATAGTTTTGTCTATAAAGAATCAAACTTTGCTCATAAAGAAATATAAAGAAAATTTTTAAACATCTATAATTTTAATAAAATTTATTAATTTAGATGAAACAATATATAATTCATACCTCAAATAATAATGATAAACATTAATTATCATAGTTTGTAAACTACATCAATTTTGTATAAATCTCTATTTTCAAACTTCATATACACTGGGTGATTGGTTAACGAACAGATTGGATAACGAACAAATACTTTCACAACGATAACAAACACTTTCACAAACGATTTTTATGTTTGGACAACGAACACATGATCGGATAGCGAACACCCCATAGAACAAAAACAAGAAGAAGTGACGTAAAATAATGAATACTGATTGGTCTTCCTTTGTCTTCAGGCAACAATTTGAAACTTTTTGGAGTGTGGGAGACGTCGACATCGATGCTCAAGTCAGTATATACTGATCAGATAGTATTCCTCCAAACTTTGAAACCTCCCTTGTAATTCCAGCTTTTTATTTTTCTGGCAAAACAATTCTTTTATGTATTTGCGAGACTGTCAGGTAGGCACTCGTTAAGTTTTGCGTCTGTTTTTCTTTTTGAAAGGTGAGAGTATAATAGCAAAGGTAGAGAGTGGGAAGAAGTTGCCTAATGTTGCTGGGCAGTATGGCGTGAACAGGTCTACAGTAGGCCGCAGATCAATCTTATCTAAGAAAGATACAGTATAATCAAAAAGACTCAATCAGCTAAAGGAGTAACAAAAATTACATCTGAGAAATAAAGAACATTGAAGAGTTCATAATGGAACCCAAAACGGATCTGATGATAGAAGAATGCCAAGAACTCTTGAATGAAGAATACCGAGAAACTCGGTAAGATATGTTTTCTTCTGAAAAAGAGGATTAATGTCGATATCTGTTATTAAAGATCCTTTGAAGAAGTAGGAGGATGTCAGAACAACGGTCTTAGAATGGCATCCAAAGCAGGTTGAGGCTTGGGGATTTTTACAATTGCATTGCTATTAATTACTTACAAAAATTCCTGCAGAGAGAAAGGCAATCGATATTAGACATATTGTTTAACTCCCACAAACGGAAAAAACATGACTAATAAAAACGTAAGACTGTGTATGTATGTATTTTTATTATTACATATAAATAAATGTAGTAAGAAAGTATATATTTTTTAGTTTTGGGGTCTCTAGAACGAATTAATTAAATTTCCATTAAAACGTATGGTAAATCAATAATTGGTTAACGAACAATCGGATAGCGAACAAAATCTTGGAACGAATTATGTTCGTTAACCGATCACCCACTGTATTTGTATTACATAAAATATATTTAATATCATTGTACCAAACATATTTTGTTATTATTTTGTGACAATGCGCGAAGCGCCCCTATGCTTCAGCATCACAGGACCAAATGGTTGACATTGTGTCAGCGAAGACTGCAATGACTAATTTATCAGGATTGACACCACTGTGTTTTCTGGGTAGACACGGAGACCATTATGTTTGCCTTTACATGCGAGCAGTTACATCTGTAGGCAGTTGGACTCAGGATGGAGACCACTTGAGGAAGTGCACCCAACACAATTCTAACAATAACAAAATTTGCTTATTATACTAGTTCTACAAAAGGGTATTTCCCCTAACGCTTCTTTGCGAGAACCGAGTTAGAGAGAGAGAGAGAGAGCTTACTTAACATTGCAGGTTGTTATAAATACCTGAAGCACTATGTATGGATTTCCAGATGTCTGTGGAGTTGTTGGGGAGCCTTGGGAATGTCTCTGTTGCCTTGGATGGTGGTTAAAGTCTATTGGAAGTTGAGATCCATTGGTTCTTCGTAGGTGTTCCCAGAGAACACACGATATTCGGGAGGAGCGCACAGCGACGAGCAATGATGATAAACCCTTTCGGCTGGCACATAAGGAATACTCTTGCAGACTCTCAACCCCTCGACCACTCACTGTTTCTTGAGTTCTCCTCTTTATATTTCTAAGTCACATTGTCTTTTTCATTCAATAGTGAATTTTTAGTTGTAGTTCCCAGTGACACATTCTGAGTTCCCTGGGAAAGGAACAGACTCTGGGAAGAGAAATGTACTCATCCTCCGGTAATAAAATGGAAAAAGTTTTTTCTGAGGTTTAAATAAATTTTCTTTTCAAAATGAAAAATGAATTTTCTTTCGAAAAATTTTTGAATAAAATTGTGGGGTTTTTTTTTTCAAGTTTGACCTCTCACAATTTTTTCAGTATCTGTTCTGTGGAAATGGAAGAGAATTCTTCAAATCTGTAAGCAATTGAGTTGATTTTTGTGCTCATTAAAACATATTTGACTTTTTTTCTGAGAGATTTTTAACTTCATTTTATTTCATAGATAATGATTCTAATTGATCTCAAATTATTTTAGTTGTTCTAATTGATTTGTACGGGTGTTAAATGATGTTTAAAGTTAACTAAAGCATTTGAAATATTTCTGAAAGTTTGTAACATTTTAAATTAAACAATTAAAATAGATGTATAAATCAAAATGTTCATTTATATCATCTCACATCTGTTCCTACTATTTTACATTATTTGAATGTGTCAGTTGATGTCAATTGATATTTTTACAGGATATTCTTATTATAATAAGTTCAGAAAATCGTTGAGGATTTTTCAATAAATTTTACTGGAGTATATGTAAAATTTAGGTGTTGGATTAGCAAGAATAAGCAGAAATTTTGATCGAATGAGTGGAAGCTCAGTTCCAGGTAATATGATGGCATCAGAGGAAACTGGCAACGGCATTCAATGCCCAATATCAGAAACAATCTTTTCTGCCAAAATTATTATGAAAATTGCATACTGGAATGTGTGTATTCTGATATGGAGTACACACATTCCAGTATGCAATTTTCTCGCTGAGCTATTATGGACATTTGATGAAAATTGGTTGGACATCCTTGGTGTCAGTGAGGTTAGATGGACAACAAATGGCCAAATCAGTAGTGATGGCAAGACCATATTGTACACAGGCCATGAAGAGTGGCACGAGCACGGATTAGGTCTTATTCTGAGTAAACGAATGATGAAAGCACTCCTTAGATGAAGGCCCTTCAGTGATTGGATTATTACAGCTCGCTTCACCCATGGACATGCCAAAGTGACTGTGGTGCAGGTTTATGTACCAACCAATGATACAGAGGACACAATAAAAGATGAATTTTATGAGCAGCTCAAAGACATCTTTGATGGTATTCCAAATCATGACCTAACAGTCATGATTGGGGACTTCAATGCCAATTAGGTAGTGATTGTTGAGGACTTGAGCCTGTGATTGGTGCTCATGTGTCCTCTGCTCATATGAGCAACAATGGAGAAAGGCTAACATTGTTTTATGAACACAACGGACTGTGTTACACATATTTCCAACATTGGCTTATCCGTAAAAAGACCTGTCAGTCACCAGATGGGCACACTTTTAATGAGATAGATTTTATTTGTATTAGTAAAAAGTGGAGGTCATGACTGAGCAATGTAAGAGTTTACAGAAGTGCAGATATCAGATCTGACCATTACCTAGTTAGGACAGATATTAAGCTCAAACTTTGTAATCAAAGGCAACTCTTACTAAAAAGACTGTTTGATATAGAAAAATTAAATGATCTAACAATTGCTGAAACATTTACTCTGGAGTTGCACAATCACTTCATCCTTCTTGGAGATGACAGATATAGAAGATCTCTGGGGGAACCTCAGAGACATTACCATTGTGGCTGTTTGGAAAGAGATATTTGTAGGTCTGCGAGTAACCATTACAAATAACAACACAGAAACAAAATTGCACATGATGAATATTCTTTTAAAATTCTCCGAACGCGGTTCTTTTATTATACAGATCCCAACTTGACAGATTTTCAATTCAATATCTACACAGGGGAGTGGGTTACCTCCTATTAATTTACAGGTAGATAATGCATGCATAACACAGAACAAAAAAATCTCTAATGACTAACTTAAAACTAATCTTACATCTATCTTAAAACTAATAAGGAAAGGAAATGGATAGACTTAGAAAAGCGAGGGAAAGATAGGAAAGCAAACAGAAAGTACCCTGGTTCAAGTCGTTTAGTTGATATCCTTAACAATTTTCGCTCTCACAATCTGATCTCCTCTCTGTCTCTACGAAATCAGCGGTTCAATATCTAGGTTCTCCAACTCTCCTAATGTCCTATGGATCCTCGTACCTCTTTCTTTCCCTGATCTTGTCAGGTTCCCTCTCATGGCTGCAGTCTCCTCTCTTTCATTCTCTTTTAGGTCTGGAGTACTGTATACAATATCTGTTTTCTCCGAGGTGCAGCCAAAAAGTGAGTACCACTCATCTCTCACATTGCCTTGGGCTCTTACTACCTTTTTCTATCTCCCTAAATTCAGGGAAGTCTTAATCTCTTTCTCCTTTGTTCAACTCTCGGTTCTTAGAAGGGGTAATCCTCCCCCTCAAGCAGTAACGGTTTTTGTAGAAATTGCTTTGAGACAATGGAAAGGAAGTAAGAAAGTAAAAACGAAAGAATATAGAAAAAAATAAAGAACTTACAAACTATATAAAAACTAAAATATGGCTGATAACCAGAATACTGAATTATTGGTTTCACTAAAATGAGATTTTTTTTTTTAGTTATTTTAATAGATTGTTTTAGTTAAGTAAGTTCAAGCACAAGAAAATTAATTATTTATTTCAAAAATTTTGTTGTTATAGAATTTGTAATAGCATAATTTGACTTGTTTGTATTCTAAATGATTTCTGTGTGCAGAAAACAGTTTGGCCTAGCGTACTTACATGATATATTAGCAACGACCAATATGCCATCTAAGCACTTAGATGGGCTAGCTTATGGGTATAGAAAGTTTAAGTTCCACTTTAAATTGTTTTCTGAACATTTCAAATTATTAAGATATGGCTCCATGAAACAATATATTTGTACAATTGTTTGGTTTAGTTGAATGAAAAAAGTCTGATAAAATATAGCAGTTTAATATTAAGTTTTGTTGTTGTTAAAATATTTATATATTTTGTTTTTAGTTCCTCCAAGAATAATTACCATTAATAATATACCAGGAGATCATCAAATTGAAATTGTAGAAGGTGTTAAAGTCACTTTAATTTGTGAAGCAAGAGGAAGTAAGCCACCAACACAATTAAAGTGGTATTGGAAAAATATGGAACCAGTACCAGGTAAACAAATACTGTAACTTTTGTAGTTAATCATATTTGATGATGATTTTTATTTAAAGTATAAGTTAAAATTGTACTACAGTAGAGCATCGTTTATCCGAATCAATTGGGGACTGTTCAGATAACTTATTTTTCAGATAACTGATTATGTACAAAAAAATAAATTAACCTATCCCATGTTGAAATTTTTTTGTTGTTGCCTGTTGCTTTGCATTGAATTTTCGTCGATGTTAAGCCTAACAAAAATTTTTATATTAATAATCGTGTCTATTGTATCGTTAAATATTATTTATTTATTTTGTATATACAAAATAAATATATTGAAAAAAAAAATATTTGAGAAGTTAATCTAGTATCAAAAACATTTGATTCAGCATGACACACAGTCCTCAGAAAAACACTACACAAAAGTGCCAGTGCTGCCAGCTAAAACACACACACACTAACAAAACAAATATTGGAGTAGCCCAAGACATAGCCAAAGGTTACAGTGCCACAGCACTAGCAGAAATTTAAATTTACCAACTGGAACACTTTTGGTTAACCGACGTTTCGGTTGACCAGCTTTCGGATAAATGACGCTCTACTGTATTATATAATCACATGTATGATAAGGAGTATATTTAACTATTACATTTTCTCTTAAATGTGCTAATTGTGAATATGATTATCTCTCTTGAAATTGAACAAAATTTGGCATTGTTTAAATGAAAGAAAAAATTAGCCATTTGTTTAAGGAAGCTAAAAAATTATAATTTGTTTAAATGTTTTTGGCCTATAGTTCTTCCATCATCAGCTAACAATATACACAACTAAAATGAAGAACAGTCTTATGACTATAGACCCAGAATAGCCAGATGTCACTGCTGATCAGGGTTTGTTTTTACCATTAGGTGAACCTTGGTGATCACCTAGGAGTGCCAAGATATGGGGATTCCAGCTTTACTGATTAAGAAAAGATAATTGTTAATTAATAAAAGTTTTTTACGGTGTTCATAATGATATTATTTTTTAAAATATCCACGTGTGTGGATACATTTGTACTAATGTGAGCATGATAATGCACAGTACATATTTATGTAGAGTTTAAAGGAAAGTCTGTACATACCAGTAACTTTTAAATTACATGTGGTAGTGCCATGAAAGTAATTGACACCTATAGGAAAGTGACCATGTGCAGTTGCATGGCCACTTTCCTATAGGTTTCATTGAATGCGATTTTAATGCCTCTAGTGTGAAATATGAAACTAAAGAAAACTAACTTGGAAACCAACGGAGATAGGAAAACATCTAATTATAAAATGAAAGAGCGTTGTTTAATTAGTATAAGATGACACTTGGTTTAGCAGAAACATGTACAGGTAAGCACAGAAAAGACTAAGAAAGTGTCACTGGAAAACTGATTTCTGACATTTGGCAATTGAGTTATTGGGTCATAGTGATTTGTGATATGATACTAAGAGAATGAGCTTTCTGACCAACAAAGGGGAATCATCCTACTTCCTTATTTTGTTCCAGACGTTTGCATCAAACTTAAATAGAGGCTAGTTTTTCATAGAAAGTCATCCTGGTTGCACTCCTCCTTGATAGATTGCCTGAGTGTTACAATGCATTTTTCCATTGATTCATTTTGCAGCTTCTCTGAAGTGTCATTGCAGCACTCCAGTTAAAAACCACTGGTCTAGATCCTCCAACAAATTCTCAGATGCAAGAAGTTCTGCGAATACTTCATAACAGCATATAGTATAGAAGTGTTGAATTTCAAAAACATTATGAATATGAATGTTTAATTAATTAATTACTCAAATAATTATTGTTATAATTAATACACTTCTTAATTAATTAATTAAAATTATTTTTAAACATTTTAAATTGTTTTGACATGTTTTTAAATTATCCAATTTAATAAAACTAAAATTTTGATTAATTATGGTTTAATTTACTTTAATTACACAATGTTATCACTTAGTTATTGTTATGAATATAGGTTATTCCAAAAATGAGCAATAAGCATCATCTGATTATTACAGTGCTTTTAGATTTGAGATTTATAATGCTTACATAAAAATAAACAAAGTTTATACATAAAGTTAGTAATTTTATTAATATTTTGTAATTCTGTCTTAGAAATATCAATGAACATTATTTTATTTAAATATATTAGAACCAACAAAAGAATCCATAACAGATGATGGCCACAGGAAATTTTCTACAAGTAGTTTGATAACAGTTCATCCAAAACAAGAAGATGCAGATGCAACATATGTTTGTGAAGCACATCATCCTGCACTTAGACATGTTTTAAGGACATCAGTAACTATCAGTATTTTATGTTAGTTTATCTTTTATTATTATATTATTAAAATAGAATAGTTTTTAAACATATCTCTATTTCTTTGGTTTTTTTTTCAGATAATAAATATATTTATATATTGTATTATTTTACTATATTAACTTAGATAATTTTTTTTAAAGATAGTTAAATTATTTTTAAGATTGTATGTAAGGATATGAAAAAGGAAATTCAAACTCTGTAACATTCTTCCCGATCAAAACTAAGTTTGAAAAAAAGCTGTGTTACACAAAATTAGTGTTTTATATATATATATAATTCAATCAAACAATTTCCTTAATTAAAGCTATAATAGCAAATTTATAGCCTGATTAATTAAGGCGATTGTTTCGTTGAAGTATCAATGTTTTGTGCTTTGGGATGCTTATTATATATAATATATATAAACAATAAGAATAATTATAAGTAAGAAGTTAGTAATAAATATATATTTCAAATATTCAAACAAATCAAAATCAATTATAAGCAAAAAAATAAAAAAATAATCAATAAAAAGAAATTCTTTTTCCCAACTTGGAGATTGATTAATTGTACATCCTATTAGTNATCATCAAAATCAATTATAAGCAAAAAAATAAAAAAATAATCAATAAAAAGAAATTCTTTTTCCCAACTTGGAGATTGATTAATTGTACATCCTATTAGTATTGTGACAATGCCAAAGGGTCTCCCTATTCTTTGGTACCACAGGACCAAAGGATCGACATCGTGTTGGCGAAGATCTCAGTGACAAATTTCGCCAGGATTGACACCACTGTGTCTTCATGGACAGACACAGAAACTGTTGTTTTTGCACAAACGATTGAGTGTGTGAACAAATGGATTTGGGATGGAGTGAGAGACAGCACACCAGAAGTGACTCACACAAAGACTAGGTCAACAAAACAACATTTATTTGTAAAGATATAAAACATTAGATTTCAATATGAGAGTATCCTGATTGGGATTAAAATAAGTAAACTTGGGTGAACTTAATCTAATTTTGCAGTATTCAGAGAGAGAGAGTTTACAGTGGTTTGCACATTGCTGAATACCTGGAGAAGCAAATGTCCATGGAGGTTTATGAATGTCCACATTCTTCTTCTTGTCGAGAAAGGTTATCCAAGGTTTCAGCACAAAATTATCCAATATCCAGGGTGTGATATCCAATTCGGCACTGACACCATTAATTATTGGGGAAAAATCCAGGATGATGGCACTTCTCAAAGACTGGGTGATGATTGCTTATTTCGGCCGTTGATTTCGATATCCATCTGTTCGCGCTCTACCTAAAGGTCAAAAGATCGCGGGAGTGTGTCATTTTCATCATCGGGAAAGTGTAAGTAAAGATTTTCTCAGATAGCTGAGGACAACAATTGGTGAGCATGTATGACATTGTTGTCAGTTAAAATTGGATCATTAAAGTTAAATTAAAGTGAGTTAAAGTTGGATTCTCACAGTATCAACAAAACTCAAAATTAAAACATTTGCTTGCATATGTGACTGATCCTGGAACGTTTAAATACGTAAATAGGATAGTGTGGCATTACACTTGCAAGCCAAATAAAAGACAATGTATCCATTTAATGGAGAGATGTGTAGCTCCCAAAGACATTCTTGAAAGTGTGAAGGTTATCTACTTTGGACTGAATCGTCTGGCATTATTTTTGGTAAAGTACTTAACTCATAAGAGGTGTATTCTGTGTTTTTGAATTTTGTTGATTACTGGTGGAGATTTAATTAATTGTACATCTTAAGTTGGGAAAAAGACTTTCTTTTATTGATTGTTCATAATTGATTTTGACTTGTTTGAATATTTTAAATATATATTTATTACTAACTTCTTTTTTATAGTTATTCTTGTTGTTTATATATATTATAGTTTAACCTAATAAATATTGTCATGGATGTTTGCTTACATAAGTGTCAAATTTAAAATTTTTGTTCTTTTTTTTTGTAATATTTCTTTTTTCTCTATTATAAAGTCACACGTAGTGCTAATTCATATGTAATTACTTTACAATACAGTATCAGGCTACAGACAAAATAATTTGAAAACTTTATTTTAATTCCTTATGTTACATAGGTTACAATGCTACACTACTGGGTGAACGTAGGATCATTACACATGTACACCTGGCAAAGTTTAAACTCAAAAGTGAGGTCATATGGTCAGGTTGCCAGGTCTGTTAAGTTCAGAGTTCCTCCTGGTGATGACTTATGGATTTATGACCAAAGCTGTCGCCACACACAGGAATTACTCACCGTGATCCAAGTCCAGGCCTGGTACTTAATTGAACCCTAATTTTGTGTAACACTGCTTTTTTCAGACTTATTTTTGATAACACAGGACATTAAAATTGAAAATTAATTCAAAAATATCCCACAATCTTTTTACTTTCCAGTAAAATTATTTAATGATTGGACAGGTTTTTGAACTGTTTTACAGATCAATTTCAGGCCTACCTATACATTAACATATCTTTGTTCTTTTTCTAGGTTCTTTACAGAGCAGACTGTATCTAAGGGTACAGACTGCTCTGTGAGATTTGAAATAATAAAATCTAATTATAATTGTGTGATTGGAACAAATAAATATTATACTGCTGGCCAAGTAAAATGCAACACCATGTAGTCCTCTAGATATTGCAGGTGTTGCATTTTACTTGGCCAGCAGTTTATTTGCAGTTACATTGTGGATATAGTTTATTTGATTTTTTTTATTTTTCAATTTTCCAAGCAAGAGGATAGACTTCTCATTTGGCATAAGATTATTCATGTTGTTTCTTGTTGCTATTTAACTGAATAATGATGCTTAGTTTTCTAAAAAGATTATTGTTGATAACTTATGCATTTTATAGTGACTGAACATATAGTATTATTTTTATAGAGCAACTGTCAGAACTACATACTGGCTCCTGATACTTTTTATGCTTTGTTTTCTGAAACCGTTAATAACAGTCTTGTGTTCAATAGTCAACTTTTTATGCTATTTGTCAATATGCTGTATCAGCATGCTCTGGCTGAAAAATAACCCTGATAACACTACTTATTCTTTAAGTAGTATTTATTCAATTAAATTTAACTTTAATTTGTTAATTGATATAAAAAATAAATAATCTATAAAATTTTAGCATAAATAATAAATTGCAGATGAAACAATTCATTATATCAGACCAGGCATCATATTTATTGGCAAATGAAGCAAAATTACTTAACAGCAACATACAAAATACATAAACTGAAAAAAATTAATATTTAGGATTTGCACACAAAATAAAGTGTCTGTGAAAAATGGATAAGTACTCACCATGACTGTAAGCATTTTTTGAACAAGCATCATGTCACATATACTACACAAAAGTTGTAGTAACTAGACTTAAATGCACATTACAGAAAGCTGCCATAGTAAACATGTGCCATACAGTCAGAAAGTTCTTAAATATAGATATATACCCAATAGCCCATAAATAAAATAACCTGGACTGTGAAATTGGTAGACCAAGCCCTGACTCCAATTCAGAATTTTAAAAAGTCTGACTTTAACTTCTATCTGTAAATAATAATTTAAAATATACTTTGGTTATATTAACCTAGAATGAAATTTTATCATTACCAATCAATCAGACTACTTTTTAAGCATTTTTTAAGTGAATCATTAAGCATTCCTATCAAAACTTATCATTTTTTCATAATTTTTCAATATCACCTCTGTCACATCATCTTCAATCACACATGGTGCAAAAAAGTTTTTGTTTGTGTTTAAAATAAAATACTATTACTAATTTAATCTAAGATTTTCTTAGGCATTTTATATGAGTCTTTTGACAATAAAAATTTAGAATTTAGCTAACACAGAATGCATTTGAATATAAATTTCTGAAAAGAAAATCAACATTAATTAATGATATGTAAAGAAACATCACAAAATAGGAGAATCGTCATAAAATAAGATATTGCATTAGTGGAGGTTCCTATAGTAGAAGATGGGAAATTAACACTTATATTAGGATCTTAATATAAAATACATAGTAAGAAACAGGAGTTGTTTCACATTTACTGATGCTGACTCCAACTTCACAGCTTTAAATAACAGCTTCTCTTAGTAGCTATGCTTTGATCTTGTTTAGCATACAGCGTCAGTATTAGAATGAGGTAAGTGGGATGCATGGCCCAGGATGTTGAAGGGTAGGGCATTAAACAAAAAAATAAATTAACATAAAATAATAGAAAATGGAAAAAAATAAAATGTGAAATATGGAAATTGAGAAAAAATCCTTAGTTGCAAGGTCCAAAATGTTAAAAAAAAATTCTTATACCAGAGTTTGTAAAAATATCAAAAGTGAACGTGGGGATTTCCATTGCATGATCTAATGTTTTTTATTCTAAAATTTAATATTAATATATTACTCTAAATTTTGGTCACCCATTTTTATGCCAAAGAATATATGCAGATAACTATTATCTTTCCAATAGCTAATTAACAACTAACTTTATCAGCTTGAAATTTACACACACATTAGTTCAAACATATTTGAACACAAATGGGCATGTGACACAACATAGCCATTCTGGGAATTAAATTGTTACATCTTCTATATTAGTTTTTTTATTCTTAACAAACTTTCTTTAATTTATTCTAAACTAAATAAATGTTTTTGAAGAAAACATTGTAAAACTTTCAGAAAAAAAATAAAAAATGTTTATTAAATTTAAAATAAATAGAATTATTTGTTTTTAAATTTTAATGCTACAGTGTATCTTTTTCTTCTTTTTTTTTTCTTTCTATAGTTAATCCAGGACCACCAGAAATCGAAGGATATCAGGAAGGAGACATTATTCAAGTTGGAGATACTTTAACTTTAGCTTGTATTTCGAGAGGGGGCAATCCACCAGCTAAATTAATGTGGTATCGCGATAATGTGCTGGTAGATACTACCTACACGACAAGTGGTCGCGAGACCACAAATACTCATACTTTTACGGTTTTTGCTACAGACAATAATGCTATGTATCGATGTGAAGCTTCCAATTCTATTACACGTGATTCCTTAACTGCATCAGTGAAATTAAATGTTCTTTGTAAGTTTTAAATTGTTATTTTGTATTTCTTAATTTTTTTTAAATAAATTTATTTGTTTGTCATTGTTTATGTGAAGTATTTTAAAGAGATTTTGTTCTTCATGATGAAGCAATCAAATTTTTAAAAATGTATCTATATTTTTGTATTTGTTTTTAAGTTTTAATAGAAAGCATACTCATAAGTATAATAGTTCATTTAGAAATAATTCGTAAGAATTTAAATGATTCAAATATTGTCTTGAAATACTGTATTTAAGTTATCTTAATAAAAGTATGTTATTTTGAAGAGAAAATTACATTACAACAAATATTAAAATTCAAATAAACCAAGAGAATGTATTGAGAATATTGGCGTAAAACAAAAACATTATTGAAAACTTCAAAAAGTAATAAAACTTTATTGTTTTGATTACTTTTTGATGTTACAAGAAATAAATATTATATATGCATATGAATTTAGAAAATATTTTTTGTGAAAGGAAGACATCTAACATTTTGACAAACATAATGAAACAAATATTGTGTTAATTTTTTGATTTACAATTATTATTAAAAAAATAATTAAAAATTTTATACAGAATTTATGTATGTAATACAATGTTATTTTATAATTTTTTTATATAGTTGCTCCTGCCAAGGTAACAATTACTGGTCCTCCAGAAGCCAAACGTGGTGATACGGTGACTATGCATTGTACAACAGAACCAAGTAATCCACCATCACAGTTGAGTTGGATGATTGACAGTCTTCCAGTTATAGGGGGAGAAACAGTTAGAACAGCAACACTGAAGGGATGGGTGACATCATCTAATCTTACAATCACTCTAACTAGGCAGGTAAATTACATTTTTAAATTTTTTTCAAACTTATTTTTGAATATGATAGTTGCAATGTATTAATTATGATGTTTGTTTTAGGATCCTGATGTGAAAGTGTTTTCTTGTTATGCAGAATGTTTACCTTTAAGAGAAACCATATTTCAGCAATATAAATTAAAAATTATTTGTAAGTATTATAAAATGCTATTAAAGAAAATCACATTTTTATTGTTGAAGATTTGTTTTAGAAATGCTGATGGCAAACTATATACTGTTATTATATTTACTATATAAATAAAGGATTAAATGAAACACATACAAATATAGAATAAAAATAGAGTATTCAGTAAGTTTCATGATTACAAGGTGAGCACTAAAAATTCATAATGAGAAATAAATAAATGTAATATAAAAGAAATAGAAACCTAAAGTAATTTAATCATAGAAAGACATTTAAAAGTAACAGCAACAGAGATTTTACATTTGTTATTAGTGGAAAGTTTACAAAATAACTCCTGTGAACTCACTCAGACTCACACTTTTTTATAATCATTGTTTTTAGCATGGAGATTGACTTTGCTCTCCATCTATCTTGATAAACTTTTTGTTTCTGATGAGCCTAAAATATAAATCTTTATATAACTAATACCTAAATTTTCAAGGGTTATGATGATATGGCTGCATAGTGGCATGATGCACTACCAGACCAGATGATAATTATAATGACCATTTGATAGATTTTGTCAATAAATGGCTTTAATCTAGATTTGAGTGTGTTTAGGCATCCAGAGCAAAAGAGCATCATTTCATAAGGATTTTTATAACATTGTGAAAGCAGTTTGACTAAATCATAGTAGATGATATAATACTTTAATATTTTAGTACTAGTAGGTGCATCTCAGAATTTTGAATTGATGGAAATTGAGTAAAAATAAAAGGTGATTTTCTTTAACATTATGTCTACAAATTTAAAACTAATACATTTAAATAAATATTAATACAATAAAGTATTAGTATCAATATAACAATATTATGGGGGAATCACTGAAATATATATAGCAAAATTTTGTTACACTGAAATATAGTCAAAATGCCAATATATTAAAAAAAATTGTTAAACGAGGAAAAATTCTTACTTTTTAAGCTTAAAAACCAGTTATTCTAGTAAAATTCTATAAAAACTATGATTCAAACTTCTACGAACACAAACTACTGATTCAGTAGTTTGTATTTGTGTTTCAGTTCTAGATTTAGGGTTCTAGGCCTCCTGGGCCTATTAAGCTTGGTGCCCCTCTGTTCCAGGTTCCATTTATGTTGAAATTAACAAAACATTTACATTGTTGTAGATCACATTATTATAAACTGAATTACTACTTCAATGTATTTGAAATTTTTAGTTATTTAGTTAATAATTAATTATACTGTAAATACATATACTAATAAAGGAAAAATAATTAAGGCAGTATAAATCAGCACTCAAAAAATTTACCTCTGCATATCAGCATCTCTTTACCACCTGGAAACTATGATCATTTCAAAATATTTTGCTATCTAAAATTTGGTACCCTGTAGATACAAAGTAAAAAAAGCTTCTCACTGAGTAGCTTTTCTCTTTCCTGACTGTTATAACATAACATGAGAAAGTATTGTAACCATCTCGAATTTTTAGTTTCTTGTTACTTTCCTGGCTGTTTTAATGTAACATGGGTTACATTCCCAGCTATTATAAATAATAATGTCATATTTGACCTTCTAGGTTTTCATAATCATGATGTTTTGGCATCTCTGAACCCAAAAAAGTAAAAAACAATAACTGGAGTGTGTATGTGAAGTGTGTGTGTTGGCATCTATTTCATTTAATATCTCAAGATGGACTAAAGATTAAGGAACAAAATTTGACACAATAACTTGTGTATAAGGAGCATTGATATTTTGGTGGTTAAAGGTCAAGGGATGGGGAGACACGTGGGTCACATACCACATCTCAAGAGGGGTCAGACTTAATGAAGATTTTATTCATTATTACCATGTACAATTTTTTATAAAATTCATCTCTGTCCTAAAAATTAAGCTTTTTGCCATTTTATAATAATTAATAAAATAAAAAGTTTTATAAAAAAATCACAGAACAGATGGTGCCACACACAGTTTTATTTATTATGATTAGTAATACAAAAGTTACATTTTTAATAAAATCTCATAACAGCTGGAAAAGTTATGCAACTCATTGCTGGAATTTTTATTACTTTTTGATTTTCTCCTCCCTGTGGGATTAAGCAAGCCTTTTAATCACACTTGTAATGGACTCTGCTACACAATGGTATGGCTGGATTGCAAAGCATGAGACCCAACAAATTTGGGTCAATTCATCTCTGATAAATTCTAGGCAAAAGCAAGCTTGAATCTGGTCCTTCATTAGCAGGCTGACTTTTATCACCTCAATCATTTGGCTGTCTATGTAACTGAAAATTTATTTTCAGCACTGTCTTAAATGAAGCTGATGCGTGAAGTAGTGGCTGCACTGATAATCACAAGCCTTTCTACAGGATAACCTTTGTTTATTGCTGAATTTTCATTTCTATTGTATATGTAATTTGTAATTTTCATTTCTAATCAAAACCTTTGCCATAAATTTTTGAGTTATTTTACAGTATTTCAATATGCTGTTTGTCAAATCTTTTTGTTTTATCAGAAAATGGCACAACTTCTGTATCATGTTGACAGTGAAGATTACCATTTTGGGTAATTATTCACTAATAATGCTACACAAAAACTAAATCCACTGTTATAACTAAAATTTGTACTGTCATAAAAATTTCAAAAGAGTATCTATTGACAGCAAAATAAAACTAATTTATTTAATTATGGAATTTATAATAATGTCTTTAGCCGAATTTACTAAACCTTCTATTTTTTACAGTGAGAGGTTAGGAAATTGAAAATAAATTCATTATATTGATAATTTTGTGTAAATTGTTTTTTTTTTCAAGTTTCGATGGTCCATAAAACAAAGACAAGTGTAAATAACAAAATGAATTTATTACCAAAAGTTAGGTACAAACATGGTTACTTTTTGACATAATCACTGTGAAGATTGAGGCAGTTATCATATCTGTGGACAAGCTTTTCCATCCCCTTGTCATAGAATGTTGCTGCCAATAACTTGAGATGAGCCCTAATGTTGTTTTGAAGATCGTTAACGTTGTGGAAGTCGCTTGGCGCTAAATTGGGGCTATACGCCGGGTGTTTAAAGGTGGTTTTCAGACTTCCACCTAGCTTAAAACTTTTTAATGTGTGAAGACTTCTGCCACTTTCCTGAACTGAAAATGTGGCTAGCAGGGCAGATATTTGAGACTGATGAACTAATGACGATCTTCAAAACAACATTGTTAAGGCCATCTCAATTCACTGGCAGCAAACATTCTATGACAAGGGGATGGAAAAGTTCGTCCACAGATATGGCAAATTCCTCAATCTTCATGGTGATTATGTCAAAAAATGTTTGTACCTAACTTTTGGTAATAAATTCATTTTGTTACTTACACTTTGTTACTTGTTTTATGGACCATCGAAGCTTGAAAAACTGCCCTTGTATTATATTAGCATTTGTTACAATGAAATTTTACCATACTAATGTTTATTATTATATTACTAATTATATAATTACAAATATTAAATATTGATGATCTGTTTAATCAACATTTATAAATTTAAAAATAATTATAAATTTTATGTATTTTTTAAGATCCTCCAAAACCACCAACAATTATTGGCTATGAAGAAGGAAAGCCGCTTAGAATTGGAGATTTTCAAAGATTTAATTGCGTTACACTTGGAGGAAATCCACCTGCTGTCCTTCGTTGGCTGAAAGGCGATAGAGAGGTAATATTTTAAAATTTATTTTAGATAAACATGACTGTTATTTAGGGATCAAAATGTAGTACAGGAAATCCTTGTTAATTCAAACTCAAATAGTTTGAAATCCCATTAGTTCATAACTACTTTCGTTCTGGTCAGAGATATAGAGATTTACAGGTTAAGGAATTTGGTTAGTTTGAAATATGGCTTCTTTGTAATTTGAAGTGGCAATTCTATCTGAACTGTCATATGCATTTATTAACTCATTTGTTTAGAACAAAGTGCCGCCATGCTATAAGAGAACAATAAACCAAGAACAACTCTAATCTGGTCAATATGATTTTGCTTTTACAGTAACCATTTTTGGGTGTCACCTTACATATTTACTATTCTTTTTTTCTTGTAAGTACTGTACATAATAGCCTACAATGTTTCCACATTTTCCTTTGCCAAGTTCAGCATTGAGATCACCCATAACTATTATTACATCTCTATTTTTAACTGTACTGAGTTCCTTATCAACCTGTGCATAGAACAGTTCAATCTTCTCTTCTGTTTTTTCTGCTGTTGGAGCATAAACCTGAATTAGATTAAGTTTATCCATTAATAATATTAGTTGTTACACTATCACATTCTGATATATGGACAAAGTTCACTGCCAATTGACTAGTTAATTTGTCAACAATGATTTCCACTCCATGACTATGATGGGCATTACTGCTTCCAGAATAGTATATTTTTCCATTTTCTGTACAACATTCACCTGAATCAGGTTATCATACTTTTCTGACTCCTAGGATGTTCAGCTTTTTATTAACCTTTTTATTTCTAGGATGATAATGTACTGTACAGTTTACCTGATTTGTACATACTTTGGACATTTCTTGTTCCAATTCTCATAAATAACCCAGTGATTGTTAGCACCATCTGGCCACTTAAGACTTGCTAGGGACTGAGGGCCATGTCTGACAGATTTATAGCCACGACAATTATACAAGGGATTATAATGAGGTGGTCTCCCCATGCTTTTCTTATTGCAGTATCACAACCAGTTTAGTCATGATGTAACTATTATTTGTGATTATCAAATAAAAGACTATGTTTAGAATATTTATCTTCACTGTTTTCTTATACTGACACAACTGCTGTCTTGTACCAGGGATATGGAAGTATGCTTATTTACTGATGGCATGTCTTGCCATGTCACAACGATGTCACTGAGTATTTGTAGTATTTCTTGAGATAACCTTCCTCATGGATTATTCACTACACCCTGTTGTTGTTGCCACTGATTGTCTGCAATAAGAAATTATGCAAAGTGCCTCCATGCTATAAGAGAACAATAAACCATAATATTTTATGGTGTCTCCAATATTCGTGACCTGTGGACATGGCTGGTAGCTTTCAGCACAGCCCCAGCATTTTATATAATACAAACTCAAATTCACTTTTACTAATTAAATGGATGTACTATACAGTATTTTTAATTCTTAATAATACATTTTTTTTATTAAAATTTTTTAACAATTGATTGAAAAACAGATTTTATGTATAATTAATCATAAGTGTAATATATAAACAAATATATTTATTCTTTCTTGTTATTAAAATTTAACTATTTGCATATTTTTGTTATTTAAATTGTACATTTTTCAAAATTAGATAAGTACTCCATTGATTGTCAGTGGTAGTGGAGTATCTACAGAACTTGTCATTAGAGCCGACATCTCTGATAATGGTGCTGTTTACAGATGCGAAGCAAATAATTCAGCAACATTGCATCCAGTTTCGGCCTACATTAAGACAACAGTATATTGTAGGTTATTGGTGTAAATTTAAATTATTTAGAATTAATAATTTAAAATTTGCTTATTAATATGTATGAACTCTGCATGTATGTGTGTTGTATTTAATGCATTTATTTATTTTTACTTATGGGAATTATATTTGATAACTGAAACCTCTAAAAAATGTATAATCCAGCAATTTTTTTAATACATGCTAATGTTTTCAACCATGTAGAATGGGCATCATCAGGCAACTAATCCACAGCTGCTGAAACAATGGGAGATTGCCGTACTTGTTTGCAGATGGAGGTGGCGTAAAATGAGAGAAAGGGGGAGGATAGTAAGATTTATAGTTCGAAGAAAGACTTCCATGCTGTGGGGAAAGAGTCAACATTGCAAAAATTAATAGTGATATTATTGCAGGTGGCTTTATATATTTCTACCTGCTCAAGATGTTTGAGAAAGGGTTGTCTGGAAGAGTATGTAAGTGCTCTGCCAAAGTCCACATTGATGTTGGGGTCAGAGGCAAAGTAAGCCAATGCAGTGTTGGCCAATCTTTTTGTGATGGAAGTCTGATGTTCCTTGAAGTGGGTGTTTAAATGGTGCATTGTAGCACCTATGTATTCTAAGTGGTAGCTTGATCTATGATTGTTGATGGAGATAGTGTAGATGCCTCGTTGGAGATGCAAGTCCAGACAGTCTTTGGCTTTGCTGAGGAGGGAGGAAATCGAGGGACTTTTAAGGAAGGCTAAACAAAAGTCATTTTTCTTAGATATTTTCTTGTAAAGGGAGGCTAGCTTTCTGTCATAAGTGACAGTCTATAATCTGTGTTCTGGGAGCAATTTTTTGGTGAGGTGGAAGTGGCAGAAGAAAAATGACATATAGGGTTTTTAATAGTCTGTGGACAGTAGTCGGGCTGAGTTGTATTCCAGGTGATCATTAGGAGCTCTGTATCTCTGTCATGTATATCTGATAAATGGGTAAAGGTCCTGCAAATTAAGGCCCTGAACTATAAATCTTACTATCCTCCCCTCCCTCTTCTCTCATTTTATGTCACCTCCCCTCTGCACACGTGTATGGTAATCTTTCGTTGTTTCAGCAGCTGGGGGATTAGTTTGCCTGATGATGCCTATTCAACATGGGTGAAAATGTTAGCACATATTAAAAATATTGTTGGATTATAGGTTTTTTTAGAGGTTTTAATTCAAGTATATCCAGTTTTGAGTGGTAGTATTATATTATATATTTTATAACATTTAAGTGTAGTTAATTGTTCAAAAAAGTTATTTTATGTATGCAAAGGAANAGATCCTATATTAATGTTTGAATAAATATTTTTAACAATTTCTCATATATTTTATTGAAATTTAATTAATGAAGTTAGAATAACTTATTTTTCAAAATACATACAATACAGGATCTTCCAAAAAGAATGCTACCATTTTAAATTACTGTAATTATGTTAATTATTATCTGAGAAGTATGCGATGTGTTAATTGTTCAAAAAAGTTATTTTATGTATGCAAAGGAAATTGTAAAATTATAAAAATTGCATTGATATACTATATAAATAAGAAAAAAATTGAATATAATAGCTGTATACTTAATAATTAGTAAGTGAACAATTATATATTTGTATATTGTTGAAAGTTGAAATAATGTGTATGTTAGATATAATTTATTTTCATTTATGTTATAATGTAATATGATATTGGAAATTCCTATGCATATAACATAGTTTTTGTTATAAATAAAAGTTTATAGATTAACATTGTTTTTATATATCAATATAATACAAAAATAAATTTAGTTGTACATACTATATCCTGTATGTTGTTAATTGACGATCAAAACCCTGTATCGCCAATAATTAATCAAAATCACATTTTTTTTATTAATGTGTTGTAAAGTCAGTTTCTATATATTGCCAAAACTCTTAAGTGGTGCATACTCTCTCTGACATTGTCAAAAACTCACAACCTTATTCTCAAAATTTTGCTCCCTTGAAACTATGATTTTTAGCTTCCTTGTAAAATTTTAGGAAAAATGCAGATACAAAGTTTTCATCACCAACTGACAATGTAGCAAAATACATAGTAATACATTATATCTCATACAGCAAATAATATGGCCAAAATAATATAATATATAACAGACAATGCTGGAAAACTATATTAAAAGTACAGTAAAACATGTGTAAACTGGAATAGCACAGTACTGAATATTTTTTCTGGTTTGGCAGGTTTCTGTTTTGAACAGGGTGTTTAAACATAAAATTGCTCTATTCTGAAGAATTTTTTCCATTTAGGTCCTTTTTGAACATGTTTCACTCTAGTGGGAATCACAGTAATTTTTGTTAAAAGAAATCAGTCATAGATAGTGATGACATTCATCATTAATTCAACATTCTCCCTCCCTGTCTCTCTTTCTAATAAAATTTTGTAATATGCAAATTATATACTAGATTTTGGTTTTTTCCAAAGATATAACTTAAGCATCTTGATATATCAGTATTAATAAAATGAATTACACTTCACGCCTATATTTAACTATGTAAAATAAACATCTTTTCTATGTAAATTCTTTAGAACATCTTTTATTTTAAATTCAATTTCTGTATTACATCCATGCGCACCACTTATTTTCATAAGTTTGTTCGGAAGCTAATGGTTTGAAAAATATTTGTATTCGATATTTGCCTGGAGATGGTAACTTTATGCTACTGAAAGTACTAGAGAACACCTTTTATGCTCTAAATAGTTGCAAACAGTAACACCACAACACTTAAGTGTATTTATCTGTGATATTAAATATTATTGTATCAATATCTAGTTAAAATATCACAATATGAAGTAATTAATAAATTTTAACTAAAAGAAAAATTTTAGCTGCATCAATATTTATATTCAGATCATTACATAATTTAGTACAATTATAAACAATACTTGATTGAACCTTCTTTTCAGTTTTAACAACATAATTGTTATTTAATTAAAGATTTACACTGTTATATACTTATTATGAGTAAAGACAACAAAGACAGTTTATTTTTCTCTTAATGTTGTTTAATTAAAATAAACTGACAATAATAAATATTTTCATTCAAAATTTATTTCAAACTTCTTCAGCACTTGTTAACAAATAAGCTTGGTGAATTGAAATCATTATGATGTGTATTTATGCAACTTCTGCTATTATTTTTATTTGCTGTTAATTAAATTTCTCAAATAAAGGAATTTTATTTAAAAATTTTATTATTTTCAATGCTTATATTTATGAATTGAGATTTAAATATTTCTATTGAATTTTATCTCAGATTATTATTTATAACCTGAAAACTTAAAGGTACAATACTTTTGTTTTAAAATTAATATCAATAATTGTTGCCATAAATATGTGATATAATATTACGAATATAAAAAAACTGATTTTTATTGAATTACAATATATCAATATATACTGTTGAAGTCTTATATACATTGTTGGCCAAAATTAAAATTAATTAACAAAATTTAACAGTTTTTGCTAATATTTTTGAGTTTAAATTTGAAAATGAGCCTTCCAACACCAAAATTAAATGATATAATTAAAAAACAACCAACCATCAGCCAAATTAATCAGGCAGAAATTATGCTACAAATACATCAGGTTCTTTGGATAGATATAATTAAAGTTACAGAGAATGAAACTGTTATATCTTATAAAAAATGTTTATATAATTTCTTGTCAATGAAAGTCATTACTAAACTCTTACAAATTTACTTCACAGAAGATGGCAAACCATAACAAAATTGGAAGCAAGTCATGCATTATAAATAAGATAAAAATTAATTCTTAAGTTAAATTTTTAATATTTTTAAAAAAAAATATATACTGTTTATCTTTTCAGTTCCTCCAGATAATGTTACCATTAATGTGCATCCAAGTTTGCCTCGAGCTGGCCAAATGGTAATTATTTATATTCATTATCTTAATGCATTTTTCTTTCTAAGTAGAACTAATTTGTAATTTACCATAGCTATTCCAAGTTATACTACAGACTTAATAACTATAACACTATATTTGGATTCAGTTTTTTATGGCTAAGGATGTATATTTAATATTGTAGCTATAAACTTTAATTATAGGTAACATTCACTTGCACGTCTGGTAGTAGTAATCCAGTCTCTCGGATAACCTGGAGAAAAAATGGAATTAATATTCGTAATCATAGAGAAGAAACAATTAGTTCAACACATGGTGGCATAGCTACTAGAAGCCGTTTATTTTTAACTGTTTCAGCTGAGGATGATAATTCGACATTCTTGTGCCAAGTTCGAAATGATGTTCTTCATCATACCCTCCATGATTCCATCACTTTACGTGTTCTTTGTGAGTAATAACTTTCCATACAAATTTTTTGTCTTGTCAGAAAAATCGTTGATATTTACCATTATATCAATAAAATTTCTTTATAGATCCTATATTAATGTTTGAATAAATATTTTTAACAATTTCTCATATATTTTATTGAAATTTAATTAATGAAGTTAGAATAACTTATTTTTCAAAATACATACAATACAGGATCTTCCAAAAAGAATGCTACCATTTTAAATTACTGTAATTATGTTAATTATTATCTGAGAAGTATGCGATGTACACCAATCAGTAGAGTAACCATCTGACTTTCATCTCCCATCTGCATTCAAATAGCCTGTATTCTACTGTGAAAAGTGTTTGTGTCAAATAGCCATGAGGGTAAAAACACAATATGATTAAGACAGTACATAATTAAAACAACAATTGATTTAATAAGAAATTATAACACAACACACAAAAGAAAAAAAAGAATTCGGATGTCAACTCTAGGGCATTTGCTCAGCTCCACTCAAGAAAACAAAAAAAGACCTGACTCATGTGACAAAACAAAAAGTTTCCCACGTCTTACAATTTTATTAAATGGGCACAACTGTGTATTACAAAAAATTTTCTTACAATTGACTTAAAACTAACTTACAATTATAGAGATGAAATGGAAAATTAAAATAGACAAAGGAAAGGAAAAAGAAAGGGGTACCCATACTTGGTTGATTCTTCTTTACAGAGATGATTACTTTCGATGATTCTTAGTGAAATTTCCTAGTCAGTCTTTTTGGGAAGGTTAATATATCTTTTTATCGGGGATCAAAGGAGACTGTTTTCATCAATGATTAATTGAAGTCTCAGGATTCCTGGTGCACCAAGAAATTCTTAAGTTCCTTGCTCTAGTCAGAATCAAGCTCTCCTCTCCACTGTCTCCTCCAGTCTGAACCCTCGTTTCTGGTCTGAAAACCGTTACCTCTCCCCTTTAGGCCCTTAGGCATTTTCTCTCCCCATGGGACAGTTAAAAACATCAATCATCAATCAAGTGAAGTAGAAATGAGGACAAGAGAAGATTCCAAAAACAGGAAAAGATAAGAATAAAGGACAGAAGCTACAAACTAGAATATTCTAACTTAAAATTATGGTGTACAGCCACACTACTACCTCTAGGAAGCACCATACACAAAATTGGAGACTGTACAACAGACAAGGCATTTTGCACTTTTTAGTTTGCAAAGTTGAAATTACTTGTCATTTTGCAAACCACAGTACTTTAACACTCAGACCTTTAACAAGCAGTACAATGTTAAATGTTTTTGGGTGTCTTAAATGACCTTCTTCAGGAAAGAAAGAAACCAATTTCAATTTAAATTGAAACTGGGTTTTCTCTTTCCTTAAGAAGGTATTTTTGATGACCAAAAATGTTTGAGAATTAAAATTTTATTGCATGTTAAAGGTCTGAGTGTAGTAGTACTGTGGTTTATTAGAAATGAAGTTTTTAGAGAAATGTAATTCTGCAACATGAGTAATCTGCAGGAGCTGTAGGTTTGTGGCTGCTGTGGGAGGTGTGACAATAGATATACTGTAGTGAGTATAGTAAGAATTGGGTATTGGTCACATGTGCTGTGTGACATAAGGTACAGTACATGCCTTGAAAAACATAACAGTGAAATGGACACTGTCCCAATGTTTTAATATACATTACAATGTTCTTGGATAATAATTAACATAATTACAGTAATTGAAAATAGTAGAATTATTTTTGAAAGACACTGTATTTCAATTTTGAATGCTTCCTTTAAGACCTCCAGTGTTATGATTGCTACAAATTGTCTGTTATTTCCATGTAAAATGCCATGTAACATATCAGTTTATTTAAACATTTGTTTTTTTGTAGTAAATTATATTTACATACAAGATGTTTGAGTTAGAGAAGTTTTATTACTATTACATCTGTAACTCGTATATATCTTTAACTTGAAGAAAATGAAGCACTTGGTAGGTCTGAATGGAATAGCATGGGAGTTTAATGTCTCCAACTTGAATTTCCGTAACTAAAATTTTTCAAAGGTTTTTTATGGTCCCCTGACACTGAATTATGTTACTTTCAACTTCTCCAACTTGAATTTTAATATTTATTCTATCCAAAGTGATCCTAATTATTGAATTTCCACAAAATTTTCAGACAGTTAATTGTATATACTGTCCAACACCCATTTGCAGACAATGTTCCGGTCCAAAGCAAGAGGACCTCTTGCTTTATCTCAACAAGGTGTATCTGCAAAACTGTTTGATTCCATTAGTTACATTGAACATTTTGCTGTAAGGTGTTACACAGGCTGTTTAAAACAAAAAAAAACTATCAAAGATTCTTTATATAATTCAAGAGAAGTAAAAATACAGATCTATTCAGAATCAGCATTTTTCACCATTGTAGTAAATTATATTTACATATAGTAAAACTTCTCTAACTCAAATCATCTGCAGCTTGAAGTTTTTCCTGCCCCTAGGAGCTTCAATTTAGAAAAGTTTTACTGAATTTTGTTTACTAATAAAATATTATATTGTAATAATATAATTTTAATTACAGTTTTTGATTTTCTGTAATTGAAACATTATTTTTATGACAAATAAAGAAGTTATTTTATTTCAGATGGACCTATATTTCCAGTTCATTCAAAGTTTGTGGAAATTGTTGAAGATGAATCTGCAATTGTTAATTTAACTGCCAAAGCTAATCCTCCAACTATATGGTATACTTGGACTAAAAAAGGAAGCTTAGTTCCTTCTTTAATGTCTTCTAAACAACAGGTGCCTATGGTTATGGCCGAAAGAGGTGTCTTGTATATATGGCATGCAGCGCGTCATCATGCCGGTACTTATGTATGTGAAGCAGAGAATTTGGAAGATGTTTCTAATGCAACAGTTGTTTTAAATGTTTTATGTAAGTATTTATTCAATGTGAAAATTGTTTGCAATTGAAATTTATCCAAGTTTACTTATAGATTTTATTTTTATAATTCTATAATATTGTAGATTCTTTAGCTTATAATTACCTTGAGTAAATGATTAAGACAGTACATAATTAAAACAACAATTGATTTAATAAGAAATGATAACACAATGCNTATTAATGTTTGGATTATGTAAGCAATTAAAAAAGTTTTATTGATGTTATTAACATTATAATAAATGTTTGTTGGCAGCAATTCCATCTTCTTCAATTAATCAATGAATGAAAATGTAGAAGATTTGAATGCAAATTACTTAAATTTTAAATACGTATATTTAAATACAAATATATTTTAACTGTTATAAAACAATAACTTTAAATAATTTAATTGAAAGTATTAAAAAAACTATACCAAATTTAAGATACTGTACATAAAATTAATAAGAATACAAAAAACATTTGTATTCTTATTAATTTAAACTATTAATATTTGATCAAAAAGTAATATTCAGTGATATCGGAAAACAGTTTTTGTTTTTAAATATCACTATATTTATTAAATACTAAAAGTAACAAGAATAAAATAAAAGCATAAAATATTATGCCTGTGTATTTACAATATATTATATATATATAGAAAGTAGAACTGAATTTTTGTATGTCAAATGGAACAGCAATTTCAAATTTTAAAAATTATATAAAAGTAGAAGAATTAAACTATAATACAAAAAACTTAAAAAGTAATAGAAATAAACTGATATATAATTAAAAATTTCTTGATGATTACATTCTGTTTATTCAGTTCCAGCTTTATTTAAGAATCTTTGCAAGTACTGGAAACTATCAATACTTAGTATTTTTGTTAATCCTTTCACAAAGATGACAGTTTTAGCTTCATGAGTACAGAAAGTATTGAAAGTATTTTAAAAAAATGAGTATGGAAAATGGTTGCAAATATTCCAAATCATGAATATATGAAATGCATAAATATGGAGTTTCTACTGTATTTCATTCCTTATGCTCATCTCTCATTCAGTAATGGTTAAATAATTTTAAGTTTCTAGCATGTTGGAATATCAAGAATAGATATTTGATGAGAATAATATAATGTCTACTGTAAATTATCTAAAAAAAACAGAAATAAATTATTTGTGTGTTTTTGCATTTTTCAGCTAATTTATCATCAACATTATATTATTCTCATTGAATGTTTATATCACATTTACACAAAAAATGTCAAGAGTCTCTAGGAGCCAGAAAATATTTATTAAATTAACATTTTTTGGAATAGAATCATTCTATTGACAGATCACATTAAAAAAAAAACCAAAATCAGACACTTTAAAATATAAAATGTAGACTGCATAGCTTTATTCAGAGCAAAGCTTTGAATCAAACAAAACTTATACTGTTCTGTGACACATTTTTCCATGTGATTCATAAATAGTGTTTATGATCATCAGTGTTTTAGGACAGCTATACTTGATGTCCCAGACATGCTCAATTAGGAAGAGGTTTGATGATCTGATTGGCTAAGAAGAGGTTTCAGTTTCACAAAAGACTTGAGAAACATGAACTGTGCATAACTGGGTATTATCCTGTTGTAAAATGGCTCCTTGGCTCCTGAAAGATGGAACATTATAGGCACAATGGTTGGCCACAGGATCTTGTCAATATGTGACTGGACTATCAGCTTACATCACTACTAAGAGAGATTGGTTATCATAGGAGATAGCTCCCTGCACCAATACATCTCTAGTGATGCAATGTGCTTTCAACAACTGAGACTACTTGTAACCATTAACTGGATCTTTATCATATTTGCATGTATTTATTAACATGAAGATAAAAGCAGGATTTGTTGTTTTTATCTTGGTGTTGATCAACAAAACAACATCAAAAACTCCATCTAGTATGATGCTATCATCATACTAGATCAGGCATGGCCAGTGGTGATATTTGAAATATTTAACAAAGGGTTCGCTAACAGAAAATTTTTCCTTAACAATTTTTTTTTCACTCAAATGGTGCATTAGCAACATTAGCGCAAAAACTGACCTTAAGTTGCCCATATAAATAAAAAAAGATATATATTACACGCGATGATAAAACTGACATAACTACGCGATAAGTCACGAACACTGACAAACAAAATGGACGTTTTGGTTAGAAATAAATACAATACTTTTTCTTGCGATATATCTAATAATAGACAGATGTCATCGTCTCTCTAAATACAATATCTTTTTTATTTTTCTGTCCATAGCCCGACACGTGTTCCGCAGCCATCTTGTATTTTCTCACGCACGTAGGATTGTGAGATCTCTCTTATGACTGGATCTAGTTTCAAGAACTCTCTAGAGTCTATCGCGATTGAACCTCGTTTCAGTCGAGATTGAAACGGTCGAGGAAGGTCGCACCAAGGCGAACGAGGTATAAGGCTCTAGTTTAGTATAATACGTATATCAAAAACACAACACCTTAATTTGTTTTTTTTTTTATTTACATACTGCTGAGTGNCTGTATTAGATGGAGTTTTTGATGTTCTTTTATTGATGGCAGACTTTCTATTACTGCCAGTCACCTGGCAATGGTGCAACTTACTATTGGATGTTATATAAAGAGTGCCGATGTCTTTGGATGGTGGCCAGTGATGATATTGAAATAGTTAGGGTTTCTTTCACTATCTTATGATTCTCCCATCTGATTGTCCTGTAAAGCCAACCAGCCTTGTCAGTAGGTCTGTAGGCCTTCTACACTATTGCAAACATCATCTCACATCCACAGTGCTGTGACTTAACTCAAATGGTGAGTGATATGCTGGTATGACCAGCTGGCTTTTTAGAGTCTAACAATTCATTCTCTCTCTCAAACACTGTCAATTGTTCATAGGAATATCAAATTTATTGCAGCATCCATACAGTAAATAGAAGCATAGATAACTGACGATCCTTCTATATTATTAACATCAGTGATGTGACAGCCCTTATCTCTTGAGATTCATGGTTCTAATGCATGCTGATTGTGTTCTGTGTATTCTTTTGTAGTGTAATTTGCATCACAGATATATCTAACCATCAGTTTTTTGCATACTGCTTTTGATTTTTTTGTTTTAAGTTTTTTGGGTGTGTTTATTTTTTGGCAAAGAGTATACAGTACATTCCAGTTAATTCGAATTATCATTTATATGGGACATGTATTGAAAGACAGAAACAAGTAAGATAATATAAGGCAAATTTATTCACTTATTTGGGACATTCTGCCACTTTATTGGGACAGCTTACACTCATATAATCATGGACAGTTATGAGGGCACATGGCAGGACAGGCATAGGTTGTTTCTAGGAATTTAACAACGAATTTTTATACATTGATAACAATCTTTCATGTTACAATGAAAGTATGGATTGTGTAAATGCAATTATTGAACAAGTTGTTTTGGAAAAAACACCTAAAAACTAAAGAAGATAAGATTGGAGATGATACTCTTGATCAAGACTTAATGATTAGGAAGACAGAAAATTTATTTTTGAACTAAGACTGTATTTTGTGCAAGATGAAAATGAAGGAGTCCCATTTCTGAGATGAATACCTGCACCAATTTTACCCATTTGCAAAGTACAGTAGAGCATCGATTATCTGAATCAATTGGAGACTGGGGTTGTTCGGAAAATCAATTTTTCGGATAACCGATTATGTACGAAAAAATATATTAATCTATTCCATGTTGAAATTCATTCAAATCCAGGCACATCCTTAAGTACCCTCTCATGGTCACGCCAGTGCTGCCAGCTAAAACACGCACACCAACAAAAATAATATTGGAGTAGCCCAAGACATAGCCGAAGATTGCAGTGCCACAGCATTAGTGGAAATTTAAATTTGCCGACTGGAAAGCTTTTGGTTGATTGACATTTCAGTTGATTCATTTTTGGATAATCGACACTCTACTGTATAAAGAAAATCCATGAAGATATACTTGATAAATTTCTGCAAAAATAATTTTTCTTNGATGCTATACTGTATATATATATATATATAAAATACTGAATATTAATTAATTATATTTTTCAATGAATGGTTTTTGTCTTCATTGCCCATTTTTTATTATAGATTTTATATGTTGAAATTCACTGTACTGGGACAGCTGCTTAATTGGGACAAATTAGCCAGGTCCCAATGTGTCCCAAATAAGTGGAATCAACTATATTTGATTTATGGTAAAAATAATGTTTGGAAAAGTATATTTTAGAGTAACATATACAAACAACTCAATACTCTTTAGCAACCAAAAAACAACTGGAGCAGTTTTTGTTGGATGTTTTTCAAATTTTTATGCTCTATTAAAGTAGCATTTTACTCTATGAAAATAATTTTTATTTGTTAATTTTAGTTGTTGTTAATAATTGTATAAGAAATTTTAATGTATTAGATTATATAATTATAATAAATTTTATCTTTATACTTTTTTGTAGTTTCCATCTTATATTTAAATATTTAAATTAATGTAAACTATTTTTTTTTAGATGGTGCTAACATAACCAACATAACATCCCTTGTTAAAGCTAATGAAGGGGAAAGTGTTTGTTTTGAATGTGTTGTTGATGCTAATCCTCTAACTGAAGATGTTGTGGTATGGAGGAAAAAAGATAGTGAAGATATACTTAATTTTGTTGTTATGAGAGATAGAGCTGTTGTCACTGTTTTTAATGTTACGAAGAATGACAGCAAGATTTATGAGTGTGTTGCATATAATGGCATTGGAGAACCTGTTGTTAGAACAGCACAGTTAGTTATATTATGTAAGATATATCGATTTTACAATTTATGTAATAATTATTTAATTGAGGTTCTCATAAATAAACACTTTTGAATTTTGTTTCTAAGAAATAACATTAAGATAAGAAAATGGAAATGTGTTTACTTGTTACTTAATGTTTTTTTCTTTATTATAATTTCTTTTCTGATAACAATAATAAAATTAATTGAAATAAAATCAAAACTGAAGATGATAACAAGTAACAGATTCCTTAAATATATAATTAATTATATGATTAATTTCAATTAATTATGTCAGAATTCATTCAAAACTCTTTTAAATATGTCTACAAAATGATTAACAATTATTGAATTTTTATTAGGTTATTTTTTAATGGAATTTAATTTGTTGAATAGTATTTTATTACGTAATAGACTCTTGCTTAATAAATAGTTTGGTTAATGAGTTATCTTTTATAGAGACATTTAGTTCTGTTAACAAGCAGAAATTGCATTGAAGACAATCTTAGATTTCATGTTCAGTCAATGATAGCTAGAAAGAGTAGTTTAAAGTTCTATTATTTGTGTGAATAATTATTTGCATGTTAGTATTGATACTAATTTTAATACAAGATACAAATGAGATATTAATATCTCATTTGTATCTTGTATATTAATATCTCATTTGTTTTTTGCATAATGCAAGCAGAGTTTGTGGTGTATTAATTCTCAGTAAAGTAAATGTGAAGACAGTGGTTAAAAATAAGATCTGGAATTAATTAGTCCATAAACCAGAATCAATTATTTAATGTTTCATTGAAAAAATAAAGTTAGTTAATGAGATGTCTCATAATGAATGATTCTGTGGAATCAGTTGTCATTAAATGAGGGATTATCTTAGTAATAAAATAACACTAATTAAATAATGAAATTTAATTAACATGCATTTTTTTAAAACATTAATTTTTATTCATTATAATTCTAAAATAATAAATTTAAATTTTCTGATTATTAAAATTATAAAAGATGCAATGGAAAAAAATCAATGATTAAAAGAATTTACCACTGAAGATATGCATTTTAGTGATAAATTCTTTTAATCATTTGTTTTTTTATTATATTAAGTAATTGTTTCTCATTTATATTATAGAGTAACTGAATTTGTGGATTATTAAAATAATTTATTTGTAAAATAATAAAACTAGAAAATAATACATAACTTTAAAAAACATTTTCATTTTGAAAATAAACAATACGAAAATTATGAAATTCAGATATTTTCTGCTAAGTCAAATTGTTTGTTGATTTAAATTGCAAAGAAATCTTTTAAACTGATAAATCTTTTTAATTGCTAAAAATATAGTTTTTGTGTATTAAATCCAAATAATTGACAAATTAGATTGGGCTAATAAATTATCAGTAACAGAAATACAGCCCAATCTAATATGGAGTGTGTTGGTGGAGTGTGCAGCATAACTCTATGTCCTGAAAGTAGTTGGCACAATGGCATTTCTCATGTTTTATGCAATTTTAGCCAACTTTGGTAAAATGGAAAACAGTTGATTTTTAGCACTGTTTTTGAGAAATAGTTCCAGAATTTTTCATTTAAATTTCACTCCATTTTTGATAATAAATCTTTTTAATTACTAAAATTCATCTTCAAAATTCCAGATAGGCTAATTTCAGGGGACTAAATTTTGCAAAAAGTCATCAATTTATTTGACATTTTTACTCCTACAGGCATGGTCTACAGCTCTGATAAAGTCCCAACTGCTTCATTCAGAGCTGCAGTTTTACACAGAAATGTGTATTGACACTTTTATTCATCTCCTTTACATTTTATGTAATAAATTATTCGAATATAAAGATTTAAATTTTAATAAATAGTAACTTAAAACTTACATAAAATATTGAAAATATACAATTAAATTTTTACTTTAGACAACTCACTCTTTTGTATATGATACTTTGATACCACTAACTTGTAAATCAATTTTTTATATACAAAATTTGCATTTTTGTATATTTTCAGCAGAAAAAGAAAATTTTCAACTATTGCACTGATATTTTTTGCTAGTTTTGGTTTTTGTAACAGCAAAAACATTTATGGAAATTAATTATTACTATTAGGTTTCTGTTTTATAGTTTTGATGTTTTAAATAATGGCTTATGCATTGTAACATATTCATTGCAAAAAAGTAAAACTTTCCTACATTAATAAGAGATTTTTTATAATATTTTTTTTTAGGAGTACTCCGTTTATAACATGCAATTCTTTCTTTCAGTTTAATCTAAAATTATTTAATTAAATTATAATTATTAAATTTATTATGATATGGTACCTAATGCCTCTCCTTCTTTGGTCAAATTTATCAGTAGCTTCTAATTATTATAGTCAACATTTAGCCCAATGTCATATGGCAGTGGTTGTTGCTTTACTATTGCTTGGCTTTTGGTTTGTATAGTTTCTAGTTGTATCCAAAAGTCAGGTACTACCAGTACTAAAGATTCTTTTTATCAATTTGTAATGTTCATTTTCTTTCTTCTGGAATCTACTAAAAGCATATATTTTTTAAAAAAGATTTTATGAATAAGCTATTTCTTTGATGAACACTTTAAAGTATATTCATTTTCACATTTTAAACCAAGAATATTGCTACCTTATCCACATTTCACTCTTATTGTTTCAAAATTTGAATATTTGTGAAAAGAGAGTAACAAAAAAGAGAACAGATACATTCTCTTTTCTTTTCCTTTTGACAAAATATGAACCAGCCTTAACTTTAATTTCAGAATATTTGTAATCAGAATATTTGAAATAATTAATTTATCTTCAAAGAAATTCTATCTTAGTATTTTTCTAGATGCCTATTGCATTATTAATACACAATGCATTAGACAAGGTTGGAATGATGATTATTGAAAAATATGATTTAGACAGATTTATATTCCATTCTAGATTTGTACTTTAACCTTTGAATAAATATATAATTTGATAATTGATGACAGATTGCATGCCTTTGCAGTCTATATTTCTAATCATTAATTTATTAACCAAATTATAATTTAACAAATTTTAGTGAATTGTTAAATATTTGATATATTAATTTATTTTACAGTATATTAACTGCACTCCATTTCAGCAAGAAACTTTGTTTTTCATTTTATCATTTAAGCATTTCATAATAGCTTATATTAATACAGAGTATGATATAAAACTTTATATCTAAAATTATACAGAATAAAGAAATAAATGAAGTTGTGAATCAATGAAATTATTATTAACCAATGATGAAAGCTGTTGGCATCATTTAGGAAGATTTATTGAGTTTAAGCTAAAATTAACAGTTAATAATTTTACATTTTTGTAATTGTATACTCTCTTGAAACTGGAACACTTCAAAAATAAGCAACTCATCATCCTTTATGATCTTTCCAGCAAGAAATTTTAATAGAACAAACATTGTTTTGCATTAAAATTTTTCAGCCTCTTTAAGTGGCTTGCTTCAAGTTTTCAAACTATTCTAAATGAATGTTTGATTTTGGAATAATTTGAAAACCTGAGGCAGCCTCTTAAAGAGGCCAAAAACATTTGTTCCATTAAAATGATTTGCAGGAAAGAGTACAGAAGGTGTTGAGTTGCTAACTTTGTAGTTTTATTTTACATGCTATGAAATACCAATGAATGTATAAAAATGAAAGAAACTGTGCATGTTTCATTAATTAATTACAATTATATTAAAGCCTTAAAAAGTAATAACTAAATATCATACTCAGCTCTTTAAAATACTTAATGAATCATCAAACACCTGATGCTGAGAAATGTTTAATAATCATTTCTCAGCATCAGGTGTTTGATGATTTATTAAGTACTTAAATTACATAATGAATTTTAAAATTACTTTTATTATATCAAAATATAAATTTTCTTTTTTGTAGACAAACCTGTTATTCTTCATTCCCAAATTCAGCCAAAAGTTGCCGGAGAATTAAAAATGGATACTAGATTATATTGTTTCGTCGACTGTAGTGACGAATTGAAATTTGTTTGGTCATTTAACGGATCAGTTATCACAGATTCGAATAAGTACAAAATAGAAGCAAAAAGAGAAGAAATTGATGTTTGGAAAAGTGTACTTACTATTAAGAATGTGGATTATGATAATTTTGGAATCTATACCTGCCTTGCAAGAAATTCTATTGGATATGATTTTTTTAAAATTATACTTGTTCAAAAGAGTGAGTTTGTTTATTACTTTCAACTGTTACCAGTACTTAAATCTTAATCCATAATTTAATTTAATTATTCGTAGTATTGTATATTTGAAAGTTACTAGTATGGCATTCAACTGCCATTTTACTTTTAATTTGTATATCATAAACATGTATGTCTTTCTCTTTTGTTTTCTTTTTATACTAACCCCAGATAATTTCTTGCCAGATGTGCTTCTTTTTTCCTGTTTTTCCATCCTTATCATTTGTTTTTATTGATCCCTATTCATTGGTTGATATAGGAAAAAAATGTATAAGAATCCTTGAATTGGCTGAATGATAGAGAAGGAGAGGAAAAATATTGGACAGAAAAGTTATTGCTGGTATGAAGAGAGATAGAGCAACGGTGTCTGGACTATTGAGAGTATATTACCGGAGTATGAATCAAAGAAGTTTTATTTTTAATTGAAGAAACAATAAACTTTAAGAGGGTTTTTTGTTTTCTGCAAAGCTGGAACTATTCACTGCATTTGTTTAATTCATTCTGTCAAGAAATGTATTGTTTCATTCAAATATATATACATCAATGCAAATGTTTATTATTTCTATTATTATTTTATTTTATCTCTGTTTCTGAATTGAAGCCTGATAACCTATTTGGTCTGCATACTGTTAAACAAATACTATCCTACAGTAGAATATATTAAGATATATTCTACTGTAGGATAAATGTTAAAATTAATTTAGCATTTATTTCTTATGTTTCCAATACAATAAAACATTTGAATAATTTTTTGAATATTCCACATTTTCTCAATTCTAAAATGCACTGTTTTTATTCAGTTTTATTTGTCAAAAACAGAAATGTCTTACATCTGCAGTTAAAACAGTAATAATCATGAAGCCACTTGTATGATATGTTGTGAATAAAAGTAATGACCAGGTTCACTACACCAAAATATCCAATTAAAGAACAAGATAACCATGTCTATCAGCATTAAACAATTTTTATTACTTATAATTACTTATAAGTAATAAAAAATCATTTAACATCAATAGACAATGATTATCACATTTTTTAATTCTATGGATGATACATTGCACATCAATAATAATTGTTTTTGGCTATTCTCCATAGTGACATCAGTTTAAATGAGTTTTCCTGGAACAAACGTTTAATTTAAAATATTTTTAATGTTTAAACATGATGCAATTATTATATAGTGTATGCAGAAAAGCATGAAAATAGAGTTGCCAGACACCATTGTTTTATGGCATTGTTTTTGAACTTGCTACTTAACATGGTAAAACTTAATAAATTTCATTGTTAGAAATTTATTCCTTCATAAAAAAAAATATTAAAATTTAATTTCAAACTTAATGCATCTTAGAAATGAGGAAAAATATTATCATCATTAAAAATATATATTTTTTTGTAAATACATTTTTATATAAATTCACTAAAATGGTTATTTTAGAATTATGTCTATTTGTTGTTATATAGTAATAATAATAACTAATTTTATATATTGCAGGTATTCCGGATATTCCTAATAATTTTTATGCCTCAGAAATAACTCATGAAAGTGTAATTTTAAGATGGAAGCCGGGATTTGATGGTGGATATCAACAGTCTTTTTATATACGATATAAAAAATGGAATGACAAAATATGGACTAAACTTAATGTTGCAGATAATTTATGTAAAGTTAAAGACTTAATGCCCGAAACTGATTATGTATTTATGCTCTCTGCAACAAACTTCATGGGAGATACAGAAGAAAGGACATTAAATATTACTAGTAAAAGTATGTATAGATTTTTTTATTAGATTTTATTTTATGTATTTATTTTTTAACTTTCCTAAATTTATGTTATTGCTGATTTAATTATGCTTATCAAAATACAGTAAGACCCCACTTAATGCTGCCTTGATTAACACTGATTTGATATAACACGGTCTGCTCGAAGCCTTAAAAAAAAGCTGAAAATTTACGCTGATTCAAATTATCGCAGCATTTCATTGATTACTCCTAAACACGAACCAATCAGCAAAAGGTGGCAATTCGTCTTAGCACTGTTCTTTCCTTAAATCTATATTTATTTGATGCAATTTTGGAGGAAATATAACATCATGAATGCCATAGGCAATACTGACTTTGCTTGACAAGAATTAACTGATAAAGGCATGAACGAAGTGTGGAAGAAGTTATGGCTGAATGTATCCAAAAATTCTCAACGAGTAGAGTCTATCACTGTATCGTTAGGTTGATCAAATTGTCAACCTAATTGATACAGCAGGACTAGAAGATGTAGACGAGCAGGATATTGAGGAGTTACTGCAGGTTTCTGGTGAGAGCCTTACCAATGACAACCGTCAAGAACTGGCAGAACAAAGAATTCATGTAAAACTGGAAAAATAGAGATTCTGAAAACAAAGAACCGAAAAAATTTCTCTACAGATTTCCTTAGTGAAACTTTGGTAAGATAACTGAAATCATTGATCAAATTGTAGTGAATGATGCAGATTTTGAAAAGAGTGCAAAAGCAAAATGAGATGTTTTGGATGCGATCTCTTGCTACCAACATTTGCTTAAGAAAAGAAAAAGAAAGCAACAAATAAAACTTCACAACTTTATTGCAAAAGAACAAGAATTTCAGAATACAGTAGCTAGGACCTTCATTACAAAAAATGAACTTTACATTTTTGTGTGCATATGTTTGTTATTTAACATATATTATTATGCAAATTAATATAAAAATTACTTAAAATTAAAGTAAAATTTGTTTATTTTATTAGTTTTTTTGTTCCCCTTTCTCTATTTACTCTGTTAAAATTACCTCATTTAACGCTGTTTCGTTTAGCGCTTTGTCGTCTAGGAATGTATCCCCTGCATTAAGCGGGGTTTTACTATACTTAAAAAGTTTTATTTTGATCATTGTTTTTATTTGCTGTGTATATGCATTAATTTTAATAATTTCACAAAGAAATTTTACTTAAAATTTTTAAGAATACTAAGTTATAACCTTTTGTAAACTGTTGTAGATTTGGATAAAATTTGTTACAGTTAAAAATTATGAAAATAATTTTGAAGAGGTGCAGAATATCAGTTTTCGAACTTAATTCATTTCTAAAATTTGTTTGAAAACCGATTTGAAAACTCAAACAAATTTTCACATACGAAACAATATAAAATGAATTAATCCATTCCTGACCGCCAAAACAAATTCCCCCCCCTTTGTAGTTATATTTCATACATAAAAATGCCTAAAAATGCAATATATTACAGTCGACCCCCTATAATTACGGTTCCTATAATTACGATTCCTATAAAACTACGAAAAAATTGTGACTGGTATCCGTAAAAAACAGTAAAAATTCCCTATAATTACCTCAAACGTCATCGGGCAGCTGAACTACTTTCCTGCCGTCCGTAGCGCCAACTACGGAGAGATTTCTATCGTCTGGACAGTATTATATAAATTATATATAAATTAGGTACTGTACATATAATTATATATTAATTATATATAAATTAGGTACTGTATATATAATTATATATTAACTTATTGTAACTTTGTTATAATTAAATATATAATTTCCGCCGTCTAGCGT